TAAAAAGTTTTATGTTTGGTAAAAATCAATAAACTCATCATGGACACATGGTCAGGATTAAAGTTTTGTACGCCAGACGCACGTTTCGACTACAAAAAACCCATCAGTGATGCTCGAATCAAAAAAGTAAAAAAGGCCAAATATAGAACAAAGTTTAGGTGCATTGAGGACCCAAAATTCCGAAAGGTTTTGCCAAATACAGCCAAGGTAATCTATTCCTTAGGTTATCCTTAGTATTTCAAAAATTTCAAAGTTTATAATAGGACAGAATATGCATTTGCGTCATCACATATATTTATTCTAGGTTCAAATCTAATGTTAGTCTAATTTCGGATGTCAAACTGCCTACCTCAAGTGGTTTGACTCCTTATTCATTGCCATTCAATCCTGAATTTGTGTCAACACAAACCAATATTGTTGTCAAACCAGATTTTAAATCCCATTTTATTGTTTCGTGTGAACAGGGTGTAATAATAATAGTAATTTTATAGTAAATAAATGGCAGGGCATTTGTAGGGTAGCTGGTAAACACTATGCATACAATTTTCAAAATCGCACAATCATTGCAAAGATAAAGGTGCTATAAGGTGAACTATTAAAAAAAAAAAAAAAATCATTTCCAGAAATTTAAAATATACTACAACATGTATCAATAAACACAAAAGTATTTACTAATGGCAATTTTTTTTTATCAAATCAATCTTTTAAAAATTCTTCAAGTCTAACTTTCTATTTTATTTCTATACAAAATATAAGCAGGGGTCAATTAAACCAAATATAACCAGTTCTAAGTTCTTTGACTACAGTTATTCTGTGTCAGAAACCTATTTTGTGTCAAATATTTAATTACAATCCAAATTCAGACCTGTATCAAGCGTGAATATTGTGTCCATTTTTGCCCCAACTGTTCAGAGTTGGACCTCTGCTGTCGTATCCAGCTATTTATTGGTTATTATCTTGAATATTATTATAGATAGAGACTTGAAACAGCAATAATGTTCAGCAAAGTAAGATCTACAAATAAGTCAAAAAGACCAAAATTGTCAATTGAACCCTTAAGGAGTTATTGCCATTTATAGTCAATTTTTAACAATTTTTCGTAAATTTTTGTAATCTTTTACAAAAATCTTCTCCTTTGAAACTACTTTGCCAAATTTAACCACACTTTGCCACAATCATCATTGGGGTATCTAGTTAAAAAAATGTGTCCGATGACCCCACCTGCCAACCAACATGGCCTACATGGCTAAAAATAGAACATAGGGGGTAAAATGCAAGTTTTGTCTATTATTTTGAAAACCATTATAAACAGAGAAAATCTGACAAGATCAAAAATGTTCAGAATGTTGAGCTCTACCAATTGTCGGTACATGTCAAAACTGTCGGATGACTTCTTATAGGAGTTATTGCTCTTAAATGACAAATTTTACCATTTTTTTTCATTTTTGCCTACTATCTTGAAAACTATAATAGATGCAGAGAAACTTTAAAATGATCAGCAAGACAAGTTCTACTAATAGGTCAACATGGTCGAAATGGTCAATCGACTCCTTATTAGAGTTATTGCCCCTTGATGATGATTTTGACCATTTTTTTGCGTTTTTGCCTTATATCTTAAAATTATAATAGACAGATAGAAACTTAGCTAGGCAAAAATGATCAGTAAAACAAAATCTACAATGAAGACAATATGGAGGAAATGGTCAGACGACTCCTTATTTGAGTTATTGCCCTTTAAAGACGATTTTCACTTTTTTTTTTGCATTTTGCCATATATGATGGAAAATTATAATAGATAAAGATACACTTTAAATCACGAAAATGATCAGCAAGTCAAGATCTACTAACAAGTCAAACTTTGCCGATATAATTTAGTAGACTGTCACTCTTTATAGGAGTGTTTGCCCTTAAATGAGGATTTTTTTTATCCTCTTTTGTGTTTTGAGCAAAAACTAAAGAAGATAGAGAGAAACTAAATAAGCTAAATTATCAGCCATACAAGATCAACAAAACAGATTTTTTTCATGAATTCTATTCCTGTCTACAATGTTGGAGATCGTCCATTGTCTCATTCTCTAGTTTCATTCCCTACAGTTTAAACATTAGATACTAATTTATTTGTGTTCATTCCTGATAATTGGTACTCATATGTTGCATATGATTTTCATCAATGTATTCACTGTTAAAACCCATGGGATGATAATATAACATTATTAATTATATTCTATTAATGATGAATTTAGTTTCAGTTTAAATTTTAATAATTTTAATGAATATTCCCTTGGTCTGTTAGTGGTATCAATTAATGAAAATAACTGTTTTAGACAGAATACCGTTTTGTTTAATTATCTTTCTGTTTTTCGACTGTCGGCTCTCAGGCTGATATCATGACCTAGGGCTGATAAGGGGTCTGATATGAAAAATGCCATGTTATAATCTATATGTATAAATGATCGAAAATTTTCGAGACATTCCGAGAATCTTGTTTCCAAGGATATCGAATGGCCCATAGAAGCTTCCAAAACTCACCAATTTATAGGCGTGAACCCCTTAGGGTGTTCACCTCAGGGGTTCACATAAAAACTAATCAGCAAGAATATATTTGGAAATAAATCAAACAGCAAAAATTACCTTTAGATCATTAAGTTGTGTAGGATACATGATTAACACCCCCAACTAACTAAATTAAATAGCAAAAAATTATCAGCATGACCAGATTAAGAAAAAGTCAAAACAGTCAAAATTGTCAGTCGACTCCTTACAGGAGTATTGGCCTTTAATGATTGATTTTACCCATGTTGCATTTTTTTAGCAAAAACTATATATAACTAATCAAAATGCCCTATTAAGAGCACAATAATTACAATTTAATTATTTCATCTTCAACATCTGTTAGCATGTACACTTATAAGTAGATAAAGAAAGACAATATCTACAAATAAGTTATCATAGCTGATATTGTCAGTAGACTCCTATAGAAAATGAAAATAAAACTTTATAAATTTTACATGTCCAAAGTGTTTTTCTGGATTTGCCTTCATCTGGCAGTGGTACACTTAAAGCCAAAAATTTGACAGCCAACCTATTCTGACATTGGACTCACATCTTTTAATATGAGATTTTCTGTGCGTATTGCTGTGTGTTTGTTTATTCTACATTTGCTAGAGGTATAGGGGGAGGGTTGAGATCTCACAAAACATGTTTAACCCGCCTCATTTTTGCACCTGTCCCAAGTCAGGAGCCTCTGGCCTTTGTTAGTCTTGTATGTTTTTTTAATTTTAGTTCATGTATATGTTTTGGAGTTTAGTGTGATGTCCATTTTCATAGAACTAGTACACATTTTTGTTTAGGGGCCAGCTGAAGCCCCCCTCCAGGTGGGGGATTATCTCGATGTGTTGAAGACCCATTGGAGGGCTTCGGCTGTTTTCTGCTCTTTGGTCGGGTTGTTGTGTCTTTGACACATTCCCCTTTTCCATTCTCAATTTTAAGAATGTAAAAGTAACAAATCACCTGAAAAGCTACACGACCAAAAGGGACATTAAAGGGATAATAACCAAGTCCTTTTAAAGGTCAAAATTTCCTGAGAGAGTTTGAACCTTAAAGTCTAAATATTCGAAATTTATGAACTGACAATTTAGGAAATGTATGTCAGTATCATATAGGAGTTCAGACCTTAAATTAAAATTTATACCCATTTTTTGCATTTTGGTAGAAAAAAACTATAGTAGTTAAAGAGAAACTGTAAACAGAAAAAAAAATAATCAGCAACACAAGATAAAAAAAACTGATTTAAGTCAGTGAAGAATCTTATGCAGAAAAACTGGTGAAAATGTCTCTATCCATTGGTGAGTTCTGTAATTTTTTTGGAATCTTTTAAGTATTTATGTTTGAAAATTTGTGTTATTGTGTGAAACATGCCTAAAATACAATTTTAACATGGTAAACAACTACTTTTTAATAAACAAATTTGAAGGAGGGAGGAAAGGCAGAGGTCTTCAGTTGAGGTCAAGAGACAGTCTTATTATTGTGGAACAAATTTTGGAGGCCCTACTGATATCTAGAGAGTTCACATTTATTTTACTGCTATACTAAGATTAAGTTTGTGATTTGACCCAGTTTGCTATTATACTCTTTCCCTTTCTATTTATATCTATAACGTCGTCATAACAACCATTATAGTAACATTACTTCCTGCGAACCGCATGAACCACCAAATTTGTACTTCACTGTTTGATTTCATATAATTGTCCTGAAGACTCCACGCTTGATAGCGAAACATGTCAACCAGAATAAACTCTTACCATGCGGTAATTGATGGGTGTTGTTGTCTTTATTATCATTTTATTTACTTATCTAGTGAAAGACATCTGTGAATACCTTTCGGTATCCACCCTATATTACCCAACCGCACGATTACCACTTCTGGTGTGTGTTCACCATATATAAATAGTTTCCCTGAAGGAAAGGTTAACTGGTTTACCTCTAGCTGTCAGTCGCTCCATCAGTCGGTCCCATGATATTCTTGTTGCAAGAACTGTACAAATCAGAGCTTCCTGAAATTTGATACCAAGTTTCATGTCAGTAGAGTACCATATAGTGTGATGCATTTGCACTTCCATCACTTACATAGATATAAGAAGATGTGGTATGAGTGCTAATGAGACAACTCTCCATCCAAGTCAAAATTTAAAAAAAGTAAACCAATATAGGTCAATATTTCAAAATTTAGTTGAGTCCCACCATTGAATTGATCCTGTTTTCAGACATGTAAGTCCCAGTCAAAATAATGAGTCCAGGACTCATCTAGACGCTTTACAGAGAACTCTGATCCATCTTGTTTTGGTAGACTTCTTTAAGCAAAGATTTGAAAAGCACTTCCCCTAGTAATGGACAGAAATCCAATAATCTGTTCTTTTGTGAAAAAATGTGTGTGCCTAACTTTTCATTTATGTATTCAGTATGTTCAGGAATGGGCATTCATGTCATCCCAATATATTTAGATTTTATTTGTAGTAAACAATGCCTTCAATAAAATTAAAGAAGAAGACTCAGGAATACTTGGCTGAAAAAGAAAGAAGCAAACAATTAACCAAGGAACCTGAAGAAGAAAAAGAAACAGAAACAGAAAAAAATAAGAAAAAAGACTTAAAGCCAAAGAAAAAAGAAAAACCACCAGTGCCGGAAGCAGAAGTGCCATTGATTTTAGAAAAAAGAAAAAGAACTGTTCCACCTGGTGAACAGCAGCTGACTGACTGGTAAGTTTTTATGTAAAATCCTTGAAACCAGGACCAATTATCCCAACAGTGCTGACACTAAAATACATTTATAATTTGCTCATGAAACACTGTTGCATGGAAAATGAGGAAATGGAAATATGTGCTGAAACTATATGAAACAACTTTCACAAGGTACATTGTATATTTGGAAAATAACCATACATTTAAATAACCATGATGTTATTGCTGCTCTTCATCTTGACTTCCTTTAAGGTCTTCAACTATGAAGCAAAGTACTCACTCCTTACAGTAGTGTGGAGACATTCTCTAGCTTAGACTTTCACATATCCTTTTTATACGCCCGTTTACGGGACGTATTATGGTATACCGTTGTCCGTCTGTCCGTCCGTCTGTCAAGGGTCAACATGTCGGACATTAACTCAAAAGTGCTTTCACCAATTTGCATAAAACTTTGGTGAATTGTTTATATCTATTGACGTGAGCTCCCTTTCGTTTTTTATAAAATTTAGATTTTACGTTTCCGAGTTATGGGGTTTTATTCATTAAAAAAAGGGGGATTTCCCAGTTTTCCGACAATAAGTCAAGAATGCTTTCACCAACTTGCAAGAAATTGTGGTGAATTGTTTATATCTATTGACATGAGCTCCCTTTTGATTTTTATAAATTTTAGATTTTACGTTTCCCAGTTACAGGGTTTTATTCATAAAAAAAGGGGGGATTTTCCAGTTTTCGGACAAAAACTCAAAAATGCTTTCAGCAATTCTTATGAAACTTTGGTGAATTGTTTGTATGTATTGATGTAAGCTCCTTTTAGAATTTTATAAATTTTACATTTTACATTTCTGAGTTATGGGGTTTTATTCATTAAAAAAATGGGGATTTTCCAGTTTTCCGACAATAAGTCAAGAATGCTTTTACCAACTTGCAAGAAATTGTGGTGAATTGTTTATATCTATTGACATGAGCTCCCTTTCGATTTTTATAGATTTTAGATTTTACGTTTCCCAGTTACAGGGTTTTATTCATAAAAAAAGGGGGGATTTTCCAGTTTTCGGACAAAAACTCAAAAATGCTTTCAGCAATTCTTATGAAACTTTGGTGAATTGTTTGTATGTATTGATGTAAGCTCCTTTTAGAATTTTATAAATTTTACATTTTACATTTCTGAGTTATGGGGTTTTATTCATTAAAAAAATGGGGATTTTCCAGTTTTCCGACAATAAGTCAAGAATGCTTTCACCAACTTGCAAGAAATTGTGGTGAATTGTTTTTATCTATTGACATGAGCTCCCTTTCGATTTTTATAAATTTTAGATTTTACGTTTCCCAGTTACAGGGTTTTATTCATAAAAAAAGGGGGGATTTTCCAGTTTTCGGACAAAAACTCAAAAATGCTTTCAGCAATTCTTATGAAACTTTGGTGAATTGTTTGTATGTATTGATGTAAGCTCCTTTTAGAATTTTATAAATTTTACATTTTACATTTCTGAGTTATGGGGTTTTATTCATTAAAAAAAGGGGTGATTTTCCAGTTTTCGGACAATAACTAAAAAATGCTGTCACCAATTCTCAGGAAACTTTGGTGAATTGTTTATATCTATTGATGTAAGCTCCCTTTTTATTTTCATAAATTTCTAATATGACATTGAGAATTAATTGAACTTTATTTGTTTATAGTCTGACAACAGATATACTAAGTATTGCACAACAGCAAGAAATCTTTTAATTGAATATAAATTCAATTCATATAACCAATTTCAAGTTCTTTGACTACATTTATTCAGAAACCTATAATATGTCAAATATTTAATTACAATCCAAATTCAGACCTGAATCAAGCTTGAATATTGTGTCCATTTTTGCCCCAACTGTTCAGGGTTGGACCTCTGCGGGCGTATCTAGCTGCGCTCAGCGAAGCAGTTTATTATATTAACAGATAATGTCTACAAATATTTATTGAACATGTTGAAGGCACATATAATTTTTAGCAATGAATTATATAACTTACTGTTGATCTTGTATTCATCTTTTGTTATACAATTGTTTCACATTTTTATGCCCTGTCATGATTGTGGCTGAGGTCTACAGATTTACCATTTTCCATCCATCTGTCGGTCCTTACTTGAACATCATTCATGAGTTTGTTAAATTTGTTTTAGGATCATTTATGATTATCAGAAACCAATATTATATATAAAAAGAAGATGTGGTATGATTGCCAATGAGACAACTCTCCACAAGAGTCCAAATGACACAGAAATTAACAACCATAGGTCACCATACGGCCTTCAACAATGATCAAAGCCCATACCGCATTGTCAGCTATAAAAGGCCCCGAAATGACAAGTGTAAAACAATTCAAATGAGAAAACTAACCTCCTAATTAATGTAAAAAATAATGAACGAAAAACAAATATGTTACACAGCAACAAACGACAACCACTGAATTAGAGGCACCTGACTTGGGACAGGCACATACAGAATGTGCAGGGTTAAACTCGTTTCAAGGCGCCAACCCTCCCCCTAACCTGGGACAGTGGACAGAGATCAGTTGAAAACAGCCTTACTCATCAGATGGAAACAAATAAAAATACATCTAACAAAAACATGGATGTGGACGGGTACTTATACATCCCTACAACAAAAAGACACTAAGTACAGATCTGAGAGTACTCGCAGTTACTGACTGCTAGTTCAAAGCCAATAACAACTAATAAATATATATAGTTCTATATATATAAGTAAATTTAGGTTTGAGTATTGAAAATGAGTTGCTTGTTTTCGTGCTTCTGGAAAACCCATTAATTTTCTAACAGGGAGATGATTCTATAGAGAGTTTTCGAAAATTAAAATAAATATTGATATATATTAAAAGCAATGTAAGTGATCTGATTGCAATTATAGGTAAATATTGGTATATGGATATAGTAGAACATTACAATATTTCTTTTGCAGGCTAACAGAACATGTAGAGTCTAGGGAAGGAGCATCTGTATCTTACCAGACCTTGTTTGAATACTTCACTGATTTCTGTGCACAACAGAATATCCCGGTTACAGTAGATCCATCACAGTTTAACAGGGTAAAAAAATTTGCTGAGCTCGTTATCTTTTTTTTGCACAACAGAATATACTTTAACAATAGATGTGTGCATTACCATGGTTTCAAAACTTTATTAGGAAGAATTTTAAGAAAAATTAGAGCTTTACTTCTAGTTTTGAGCTTGGATATTGTCCCTGCATTCAGTACACACATTATTTTTAGGTAAGATGTACATAACTTCATAGCATAATTTAAAACTAAAATGAAGTTAATTCCTGTATGCCACATGCAGTATTTGTAAAACCCAAATTGAATGTAAACTTAGACAAATTTATTACAATTTTGGTGTGTTTGATGGTTCTTTGTCAGCAATGTGAATAAAAGAAGATGTTGGGTATAAATTAGACAGCAACCCAACAACGCAAAAGTCCAATAGAAGACATTAATCTATACAAAAGGTCAAGTCCTAGATCATCTCGAGTGCCCTAATAATATTATTTATGTTGCTTGTCCATTGCAATCAGTTTTAGGGTAAAATGCTGGATAAATTGCATGGAGTAGACTTCCTGTGAAACTGATGTAAACATAAAATACAAAATGATATCAACAAATGTCAGATTTACACTAGACTTGTATTTGGTTATGAGCACAAATTCTTCTTGTTTCATGAAAACCTATTTCATTAGAGCAAATTCTTTAAGTTTGGGCATTTTGTAGTGACTGTTTTTCTAGTTTGAAAAAAGGAAACATCATGTTCATTATAATTTATTTCCTAAACAGTAATATATTTCTTTTAGAGTGTGAAAGATAAGTTTGGAAAGGAAGTTGGAATCAAAGAATCATCACCTTACAAGGGATTAATCAGAGAAATAAAAGCAAAACCCAAGTCTACAAAACCCAAGGCAGAAAGTCTGACCATGAAAATGAGAGATATTGTGGAGGAAATTCTAAAAGAGACTGGAAATCCTGTATCCATTAAATTTGTCAAAATGCAAACACTCTTACAATCATAGATTAACAAAATTCATCTGGCATGAAAACACACTTATGATCATAGAATAGCCAAAAAATCACTGCCAACAAACACTTATGATAATATAGTCACTAAATTTATCAGCCTGTAAACAAACACACTCACACACATTTACAATCATAGATTAACTAAATTTATCAGCCTGCAAACATATAGTTTCTCCAATAAATCAAACTTCCATGAGCATAAATTTACTAAATGGTATGCAAGAGAAAAGTTTTTAAAAATTGGGCAAATATGAAAGCAGAGTGGTTTTCATGTACATCAGTTCATTCGAAATGTATGTTAGTTAATTTGCCAAAAATATCCTGAACTTTTTTTTCGTTAAAAAAAGACCCAAATTAAAGATTATGATATTTTCTTAACACTTGTTAGACAAATGGAGTGAGATTTCCCAATATAAAAGTAGCCACTGCAAACAAATATCCTGCTCTACAAGTGGATTTACAGCCACATAAATTGTTGCAAGCTCTGGAGCGGGGAGTTTATTATGGACGTATTGAACTGGTTAGTAAATAATAAATGACGTTTTGAACTCTTGATTATTAAATGACACATTGAACTGATAAGTTTTGATACATTGAACTAATGATTGTTGACATATTGAACTGGTGAGTATTAAATATCATATTAAAATGGTAATTATAAAGGGACATATTGAACTAGGGAGTATTAAATGATGTACTGAACTGGTGAGTATTAAATATCATATTAAAATGGTAATTATAAAGGGACATATTGAACTAGGGAGTATTAAATGATGTACTGAACTGGTGAGTATTAGATATCTTATTAAAATGGTAATTATAAAGGGACATATTGAACTAGGGAGTATTAAATGATGTACTGAACTGGTGAGTATTAAATATCATACTAAAATGGTGATTATAAAGGGACATATTGAACTAGGGAGTATTAAATGATGTACTGAACTGGTGAGTATTAAATATCATACTAAAATGGTAATTATAAAGGGACATATTGAACTAGGGAGTATTAAATGATGTACTGAACTAGGGAGTATTAAATGATGTACTGAACTGGTGAGTATTAAATATCATATTAAAATGGTAATTATAAAGGGACATATTGAACTAGGGAGTATTAAATGATGTACTGAACTGGTGAGTATTAAATATCATATTAAATTGGTAATTATAAAGGGACATATTGAACTAGGGAGTATTAAATGATGTACTGAACTGGTGAGTATTAAAGGATGTACTGAACTGGTGATTACACATTGAACTGGTTAGTACTGATTGATAAATTTGCTATATCAGAACTACAACAACTATTGTTTTTTCATCTTCTTTGCAGATAAAACTGACAAACTGGTTACCTCTATGTAAATGTCACTTTTGCTTGAGCTTGTCTTACATTAAAGGCCAGTTTCAAATGAAGATCTATTGTTATATGTTTAAGAACTAGAGTTTTGAATAATTTCAGGTGAAAGGTACAGGGAAATGTGGGTTTTACAGATTATTTGGTGCTGAACCAAGGGAAGACATCAAAGAAAAAGAAGAGAAAGAGAAAGAAAAGGAAAAACAAAAGAGGGAAGAAAAAGTGGGTGATGATATTACAATGCCATAAATTGTATATTATTTATGGGGAAAGATTTAAAAAAAATTGAAATTAAGTTCGAATTTTTATCAAGTCATCAACGTTAACACTTTAATGAAGAAACAAGGCATGCTTACAAACAAAAGGGTTTAATATTCATTGTCTTTATGATTATGAAATACTTGATTTGTTTAAGAACCTTTTTTATTCTGCACATTCTATAGCAGTAATTATACAAATATCATGAAGTGTTTTTTTTCTTCATATTTTCCTTGAAAATAAGTATTGACAGATGCATAATATTCCATGGTGGATTGGATATTTTCTTGTCCATATCCGGTTATTTCATGCATATTCAGAATTAGAACATATTAAGTAATAAATCAATTGGTAAGTTTTTTAAAGTGATTTGTTTGGGATTAAGGTTATGTAAAGTGATTTGTTTTGGAATAAGATTTTGTAAAGTGATTTTGTTGGGATTTAGGATAAGAAATTTAAGCTTCCATTGGGAATAGAACATATGGTGGATAAAGTTAAGATATTGCTTTGCAGACCCATCAAAATTTTTTTTTTAACATACAGAGAGTATGGCTCTTCCACGAAAATGCAGTATAAAGGTCTTTAAAATGTCTTTATTCCAACCAACATTCTTGACTGAATAAACTTTTGGTTCTTCCAATAAGGGTAAAAGAGAGCATAACATATGTAGGGACGGCTGACATTTCTATTTTATTGTTCTATAGCTTCAGAAGAAAAAAGAAAGAAAAGAATCAGAAAAAGAAAACAAGGAGGGAGATGAAGAACCAGACCAAACAGAGGGAGAGACGCCAAAGAAAAAAGTTTCAAAGAGAAAATTAGAAGAAAAGGGAGATGAAAAAAAGGAAGAACCCCAAAAGAAAAAAAAGAAAAAACGACATATTAAAAAACGTGAGTAGACAACACAATTAACAACACTAAAATATAATATTGCTATGAAAAAAACCCACTAAGTATACTAATAGATAACAATGTTTGTGGCTCTATATTCATGCATGCAGCAGGGGCATCTTTCTCTAGCTATGTTTAAAAAACTAAACTTGAAACACTGGTGATTAATTCAAAATAATAAGATAAGTTTTTAGTTTCATTTATAGTAAATAACATTGACACATTTCTTTTGATATGACAATTTGTGAGATAATATATTACTAATTTTCCTATATTTTGTTAGTGTTCATGGTAGTTGTATCAATTAGCAACGGAGATTAAAATCTTTTTATCTTGTAGCAAAATGGGAGAAAACTGATCCACACAGTAACCCTGAGAAGATAGATGATACATTTCCTTTAGCCTTTACTTACTGTAGTGAACCTAAAGAGGCCTCATTTGGCAAAATCAGGAAATATCTCATTGAAAATTATCCAAGTGTAAATGCTGAAACCAGGTAATTAAACCCTTTTTAATGAAAAGATAATAAGACAGCTTTTTAATTTTACATGTGAATAATTGGAGATGATTGGTAAATGCCAACACAAAAAAACTTCTGAAGGTCAACAAAGGGTTAACAGTAGACACAAACCCTGACAGTTTACCTTACCTGGTTGTTTTCAGTTGGAGTTAGAGGTTAACAAATTTTCAGTCATTCAGATTAGGGTTATTCCATAAAAATTAAAGTGGGAGGGTAGAAAATATTTTTGTACTTAGGTTGTGGATCATTTATAGTTGTATGCAAACTTTATGTATACAAAATTACTCCAAAAAAAGTATGTTGGTTGTTTAGGTCTTTCAGAAGTCCTTCCTTCCCACCAACATCCATGTTAATGTAACAGTCCTTATTGTAAATGATCTTCTTTACTGGAAAACTATCAATTATAAGTAGCAATCCCTTCTTAGGCAGGTGTTAGGTTGACAGAATAAGCATAAGCATACGTGAATGGGGTTCAAGGGAAAGTCTTGCTGTTACATGCAGGAAGAATATTTGCAAATAATATTAATCACAGCTCAAAATGACCTGAGTCATTAAAAATATAGCACATCAAATATAAGTTTGTGATATATCCTTATGATCAGTAAATATAAATATTGTACTCTTAGATCAATTCCCATGTTATAGGCATATTTGTTTATTCACAGGCAACACTTCTTTAAACTAAATAGAAAATAAAAAAAAGAACAATAATAAAGAGAAAATTTTTTAAATCTTGTAAGTTCCAATGATATTTGAAAAGGATCAACCTTTGAAATTAAAAACTTTACAAATGACTGACTAATGAATCAATTGTTGCTTTTTGAAACACTACATTTAATGGTTCTTTCAATACTTATATTTTAGCATTTCAAGATGTTATGCTTTTCTCAGACTGCTTAAGCTATCATTACACTAAATCTGTTGGAAGTGTACTGATAGATATTTTAGTCAAGTAAACATTGTTTATTATTTTTTTTTAAATTGAGATTTGAACTAGCTTTCAGTTACTGTGAGTACTCTTTATTTTCTAAATGTAAAATGAGATGTCAAGAAAAAAATTAACAGCTTTAATTATCTCATCACATATTTATCTATTTGCATAACAGAAGAATGTTGTATATGGACTGCAGTAAATCTATATGCAGTCAGATTTTTTAAGAACCATTTGATTAAATGAGAAACTGCTGTTCAACAAGATTGTTTTGAAGTGTAGTGTGGCAAGTTGAAACCTCATAACTGGCAACCAAATCAAAAGACATAATTAATCCAAACTTCAAAAGAGTTTTTACACTCCAGAAACTCTATTGTTTGATATGCTTTATTAAAAATTGATAATGAGTTCTTTATGATAGTTGTCAGGGAACAGACTGACACACTGAGCAGAGTTTCAGCTAGCATGTTCACAAAGTAACAGTCTGCAGGAAGACATATCCCCATACCTGTTATTCAAATTCCGAGTCAACCAGTCTTTTCTCTTACTACTAGATCCTGTGTGCTTAGCAGAGAAGCAACAATTATTAAATCTGTGGTTTAATCTGGCAGTGTCTTTCATTATTCATTGTTTCTGAAATACAATTCAACAGCATTGTCATTATGTTTTTGATTTTAAATGTTAATTGGTTAAAGGATTCAACAAAAATGAACATGTGTCTATTGATTATTTAGTCTGCAGGAAGACATGTCCCCATACCTGTTATTCAAATTCCGAGTCAACCAGTCTTTTCTCTTACTACTAGATCCTGTGTGCTTAGCAGAGAAGCAACAATTATTAAATCTGTGGTTTAATCTGGCAGTGTCTTTCATTATTCATTGTTTCTGAAATACAATTCAACAGCATTGTCATTATGTTTTTGATTTTAAATGTTAATTGGTTAAAGGATTCAACAAAAATGAACATGTGTCTATTGATTATTTAGAAGTCAATCTCACCTTATTGTGTTTTTGTTCCAGACTGAAACCAGCTATTGAGAAAGGAATAGAAAAAGGAATATGGGAACAGTCATCAGGAAACAGTGTTGGTCAGGGATCTTATCGTCTACTGCTAGATGATTTTGATCCAGAATCAAGTATGTGGAATGTATAGCAGTAGTTTAAAATTTGTTTGTTATTGATTTCATAAAAAAATATTCCATTTATTGTCCTCTGTGCGTCAGACAGGGGAATATCGTAATAGTCTCTTTGTTCATCCTGCCGAAAACGCATCAAAACTCAGAGACTGTTTGACATTCAGCTTTTATACTTAGCAGGATTATTAATCTCCACAGTCTCTTCATCATGCTTTATGGTCAGTTTGATATGACAATTTTTACAGGAGTAATGATACTTTGACCATATTTATTTAGTATTAGAATACTAAATAAAAAATGTCCAATTGTTAGAACAATGACACCTTGTGAATGCAACACCATTTTACAGAAAGATTGCATTCCTGGTAGGATTGTTTGCCATCATGTGTAGTTCTCAGATTCTTTAAGCAATAGATGAACTTTACTTGATGTATGGAATGATTGTAAGGTGTACATGTGCGTCTGTCAGGATTCATCTGACCCAGGGTTTAAGCTAGGATTTTGAGGGCTTTAGTCACTTTTGCGCGAGATGAAAATCAACCTTATTTTGATTATAGCAAGGGACCAAGGATGTAAATATATATATTACTAGCTATACATCTTTGTCAGACTTTGAAGGACTTATGCATGCTAGGCAGTTATTGCATGAATTGACTGATGTGGCACTTAAATATGAAGATTATGATACAGGATCCGGAAATCTAGTTCACAATTTTCACATCAGTTTGTTTCAGTGGACATTGCTGACCAACAAAAAGTGAATTCCATTTTTTTTTAAATCAGGAATCACAGGCTAGGGACACAGCACAAATGAACTTGTAACGACTATTTTACTGCATAATCATTATCCTTAAAAAAACGTTTAAATTGACATTTGGAATCCATTTCTATTAAGTTGGAAACAAGGATTTGTTCAAATCCTTATTGGAACAATTCTAATGACTGTAAAGAGGTAGTTAATCAATCAAGAATAGATCATCACGTTGGTTTACTTTCGATTTTCAAATGAAATGAAAACGGGAAGTGGTACATGGATAATAAATTCAGAATGAATCCAGATTCAACTACGGATTGGTTCGTGTTTAAAAAAAGGCAGGAAATTATCATTTTTTGAATTAAATTTTGTTTAGTAAGAGATATATTTTTGTCTCTCTCGTTGAATTTGATACTAAATGATTTCATATTTTACGTATTTAGTGTCTTTAAATTCACAGGAATACTTTCACGCATGCGCAGTACATAGTAAAGGAAGCACCTGTTTGACTCGTGAAAACATTTCTGAACGTATTGAATAAAGTTGTATCTTGATAATCGAAATTGTGAAAAGTTTTTGATGAAAAGTTATATCAAATATGACGAAAATATGTTTAAATGAGGAAACTACGACAAACGAACTGCAAATTGTGATCTTTTGAGAAATATTGAAATTAAAATGCGAACAGGCCGGCCGCAGGGGAAAACAATTTTGTTCAAATAACGAAACTGCAAATTTTACTGAGAAATATTATTATGATGGTCAATTATGAGGTTTATAATTAACAGATTAGTGACCTATCCGATGGCGATAAGCGGATTACCTGTAATCACAACTTATAACACCTGTTGTAAATGTTAATTAGCAGAGGGTCATAAACTTGTCAGAAACATGAAGACAAGTAGAATTATAGTATACGAAAATATTTTTACACTCTCCAAATTTAAGTGACGAAATTGATTTGCAATACTTTCGTCATTTTGAAAACCGTTTCCTAAATGAGGAAAATGATGAGCGCTAGCAATATCACTGATCTGACCTTTACCTCAGTTTCATGGTTCATTGGTCATCGTTAAGTTTTCATGATTAGATTAATTTCTAAGATACTATTAGCAAAAGGTCAACTATGTTTGGTGAATGGAATAATTTTAAGCTGTATATGTTCATCTACCAGGGTTCATCTGATCTTGACTTCATTTTCATGGATCATTGATAAGGTTTTGTTTATGTGATACCTGTTGTAGAAACTTTCTCTGAAGACTTTCAACATATCATTGAATCATGAAAAGTAAAGCAGGTGAGACATATCAGTGTGTGCACACTTGTTTGAAATTATTTACAAGAAGGCATCAGACAGTCAAAGTGGTTTTTGTCGAGCCTTCGACTTTTGTCGAAAAAGCGAGACATAGCGATCCTACATTACGTCGGCGTCGTTGTCGGCGGCGTCCACAAATATTCACTCTGTGGTTAAAGTTTTTATACCCCCGTCAAATTCTGTCTGTCCGGCGTAAACATGTCGCACCGTAACTTGAGAATGACTTATCCAAATTTCATGAAACTTAACAAAGTTGTTTCTTATGATGGTCAAACGATCTGTATACTTTTTGGTGAAAATAAGATTAAAACTTTTTGAGTTACGGGACTTAGTAACTAAAACAGATGTGTGTTTTTTTTCACACTTCTTAGTTATATTAATCTTAAGATCTGTATACTTTTTGGTGATGATTCAAAATTTTATTTTAGAGATATTGAGTATTTTGTTAAAAAAGGGGGAGGGGTTTTTCACATGTCGCGCCATATATCAAAAACAGTTTATGATTATTGCTTAAAACTTTACACACTTCTTAGTTATATTAATCTTAAGATCTGTATACTTTTTGGTGATGATTCAAAATTTTATTTTTGAGATATTGATTTTTTTTTTTTAAAAGGGGGGTTTTCACATGTCGCGCTGTATCTCAAAAACGATTTATGATTATTGCTTAAAATTTTACACACTTCTTAGTTATATTAATCTAAAGATCTGTATACTTTTTGGTTTTCATTCAAAATTTTATTTTTGAGATATTGATTTTTTTTTTTTAAAAGGGGGGTTTTCACATGTCGCGCCGTATCTCAAAAATGATTTATGATTATTGCTTAAAATTTTACACACTTCTTAGTTATATTAATCTAAAGATCTGTATACTTTTTGGTTTTGATTCAAAATTTTATTTTAGAGATATTGAGTTTTTTGTAAAAAAAAAGGGGGGTTTTCGCATGTCACGCAGTATGTCAGAAACTATTTATGCTTATTGCATAAAAATTCACACACAAGACGACAGGCGTATCATGCGCTCATGGCGCAGCTGTTTATTGAAATTTTAATAACTATCTTAAACTATCCTGGATTTCTACCAAACTTGGACAGAAGCTTGTTTATGATCATAAGATAGTATCCAGAATTAAATTTTGTAAAAAAAAAATTCCTGTTTTTCCGTATTTTACTTATAGATGGACTTAGTTTTTCTGCCAGGAAACATTACATTCACTCTGTGGTTAAAGTTTTTAAAATTTTAATAACTTTCTCTAACTATCCTGGATTTCTACCAAACTTGGACAGAAGCTTGTTTATGATCATAAGATAGTATCCAGAAGTAAATTTTGTAAAAAAAAAAATCCATGTTTTTCTGTATTTTACTTATAAATGGACTTAGTTTTTCTGCCAGGAAACATTACATTCACTCTGTGGTTAAAGTTTTAAAAATTTTAATAACTTTCTTAAACTATCCTGGATTTGTACCAAACATGGACAGAAGTTTGTTTATGATCAAAAGCTAGTATCTAGAAGGAAATTTTTATTAAAATTTTGTACTTGTTTATCCATATTTTACTTATAAATGGACTTAGTTTTTCTTCCAGTTAACATTACATACAGTCTGCAGTTAAATTTTTTAAAACATTTATTAGATTCACAAACTATCCTGGATTTTTTACCAAACTTGGACAGAAGCTTCTTACAATAAAAAAATTGTATCGAGAGGAATATTTGTATTAAATTTTTTCCTCATCTCATTTTTGTTGAGCCTGCGATTAACAGCAAAAGTAGGCGAGACACTGGGTTCCGCGGAACACTTACGAATTTTTATTTCTCTTATTAGATGAGACTATTATGAGTCATGAATGGATCATTGATTAAAAAAATATATATGTATGGCAAATATAGCCTTCATTAAGTCATATCCCTAAATTATGTTGGTTACCATTCAAGATTGTTTCTATTGCTTTTCTTTCTTCAACAGTTGTGTTATGAAATCAAAATGCTGAAAAGAAAGTTTGAACATTGAATGGTAGAAATATTTTCATCTTAAAATTCTGCATTAGTCAGTCTTTAAACAAATCTGATAAAATATCCAATGTTATGGATAAACTTATTTATGAGGTCAAATGTACTTCTGCAATATTCATCAAAAATCTTTTTGTTCTATTTTAAGGTAAAACCATAGATGACATGATCTGTCAGGCCATTGTAGCCAGTCATGAACCTAAACAGTCCACAGTTATTAGAATCAAACAGTACATCATGGACTATCATCCTGACTTCAATATCGAATCTCGACCACACAAGTTCAAAACTGCAATGGAAAGGGCATTGAAAAATGGTGTAATAAGGTACGATATTTATGTTTATCAATGACTTATGGTAAGTTACTGAAATAAAAAATTAAAAGATGTGAAATTAAAAAGATAACAAGATACCAAGGGAGCAAACTAAAACCATTAGTCAAAGAAAGATAAACAGCACTATGGTCAAAATAAAAAGAGATACAACAATTTAGCAACTTGAACACCGAAAAAATGGGGATAAACTCCAGTCCTGCTGAAGTTTCTACTTGACTTGTGGCATCGGTTGTTTGCTCATGACAAGTAAATTTCTGGTCATATTCCATGTTGTCCTAAGTCCATTATTAATTGTCTATTTTTGTATTAAAGTTTCTCATTGGTAATTATATTTTACCACCATTCTAGGAACAGGGCTATATTGCATTCATTCTGTCCATCCATTCTTCCAACAAAAATTGTTACACTTTTCTCAGGAGCTGCAAAATAGAATGATTTGGTATTTGGTCAATAGCTTGACAGCTATGAGATGTAATTTGTGCACACTTTTGGAATCTTTAAGATGCCTCATTCCTGTTTGCTGACTATTTGAATTTTTCAATATGTTAAAAGAATTTTAATCTTCGTACACACATCTCTCAGGTATTACTGAACATAATTATTTCATATTTGGTCAGCTGCTTACAAGTAGGGTATGCTTAGCATTCACATTCATTGTTTATTTTCAATATTGTAATATTAAATATTTCAGACAAATAACAGGAATTGGAATGAGCGGTACATTCCAGCTTGCAAAACCATTTATTCCTCCCCCTAGAACACTGGCTGGAGTAGAAGATCTTACGGAAGACTGGATTGGTGATGAAGGAGTCTCAGGAGAGAATTATGTTGTTCGTAAAACAAAGTCAGGACGATATGCAGGAAGACAGGCCTAATAATCTGTTTCCGTGCATTTTATACTAAGGCAGCATCATTATTTGTATGGTAGTCAGTTGCTTGCTGTGCAGGAGTGAAAGACATCACATGACTTATTTAAAGGGTCAGCTGACTCAAAACATATAAGTTGGAAGTTGTTCATTGCATTGGATCATCACAGTAAACCAGGGTCAAACCCTAACATTCGTGTTGATATGATTGGATATCAGCTATTGTTTATTTGTTGTATTATGTAGTGATTTGCTGGATATTCTTCTTCCAAATGATGCTATTGAAATTGTCCTAAAATCTGAGGTTATTAGTAAAATTTTCATTTTTGAATACAATATTTTATGGCTATTATCTTTAATAAAAAGAGTGGTATGGGTCATTAGTTTGCAGACATATTATAACTTCTAGCAGTGTTGAATATGAAACACATGTTTCTAAAGTACCAAACAGTTTCATTTTCAACTATATCATTGTGTGTAAAACAAGCCAAAATATTTAAATTTGATTAACCAAATTATTTTATATGAAAATATTACTTTTGAAGAGTGCAATAAATTTATAATTTTTAGGATGAAAATGAATAAAACCTTGACTAAGGCTTTGTATAGTTTTGCTGCTTATGATAAATCCTCAAGTTTTTGTGTATGTGAGGTCACTTCATTTATTAATCATGTAAAAGCATTGTGGTCAGCATTGTTATGTTTATTCACTAAAAGAAGCTTTATGTTTTGTTAATGAGATATATATAAAACATTATTTTTTGTGAGTACATTTACTAGTCTGCCTGTCCGGTATTGATTTAATAGATACAAGGATCAGGTAATCACAAGCCACCTTCTTCATCCATTGCTTTCAATAAAAACATGCCTAATGTCACAAAATATGATGGAGACAATTGTGGTCATCGTAAATCTTATTACTTGATGTCAGTTATAGACAGAATTTATATAGAATGCACGTGCAGATGTTTTTGTAAAGATAACAACTTAAACATTGCTACTACACCTTAGTATAATGGGTTAACGGTTGCCCAGATGACAAGGGTCAATTCTAGATTTCACAAATATCAGAATTTGCTGTAAAGAATTTAATGAATTATGGGTAATGGGTTATATTTACTAGAGTACAGTAATATACATGTATTCTAGTTGGTTTTGATATCTGGAACAATGGATATTTAGCCAGTTGTGTAACATTATTTATATTGTGAGCATTTAAATGAAATTACTGAGAGTCCTATTTTCCTATAGTTTATACAATGATGAATTGGCATTCAGATCAGTTTGATATTTTCGTTTTATGTTTCTAAAAGCAATGTACATTTCATTCTAGTTAAAATTAGCATTGATCTTTATGAAGGGCATTTTATAAGCATGATAAGTGGTTTTTTTTCATATCAGAATTATGATCATGTTTATTGTATAATTGGTAACAAACTTGATAAAGACTTACAATTAATGGCTTTAATTTTCCTTTGAATGTCATTTCTTTTGACTGATCCTAAATGTTTTTACTACCATTCAACAAATATATTCATACCTTTATAAATAGATAATTTTTATTGTGGTTTTACACAGAACTCCAATGAAATTAATGCAAACATTTTCTTTGTTTTTCCTTTTTTGAAGGTGTTACATTGTTATATATTTAGTATGCATATTTTTTTTAATTGATGGTCGTTCACAAGAAAGTTTTTTATTCACAAATTTCTGCAAACATGGCTGCATATGCAGAAAAGATCTTTTTTTAAGAGAAAACATGATAAACTGATTAAATGATTGTCAGAATTATGTTATATACCAAATATTAGTAATGCAGGCTCCTTGAAGCTCAAGTCTGTTTAGATATTAAATATATAACCTTTTTTTGTTTATTTGTTTTTCAAAAGACTGTAATTTTATGACTGTTAAACTTGTTCTGTTGTTTTATAAAATATACTGATTTTATTTTTTATCAAATACTGCTTATTTTGCTTCTACAGACTTTTCATATTCAGATATTTTATGTATTAATTTTTTTGTTTTCTTGTTATAATAAAAATTATTATATATATCAATAATATTTGATAATTTATGTGTATACAAAACTTTTTGATAGGTTAAGAAGCAATGAATGATTTAGATCTTCATTTTAATGTGTTGAGCACTGCCAAAGTAGTCTTTATATCAATAATTAGAAAATGTAATTCAGTGTCAAAAATAAATCATTATTGTCACACAATTAGTTTTTATTATCCTGAATAGGATACAGAAATGCATGTTTATTTAGCTACTAAGCAGTGTTTGCATGCAGGGATAGTAGTATCAGGTTTTTCATTTGCATTATCAAGTCTACACACTTTTCATAATATGCTTTTCTGATACTAAAGCAATAACGGAAATTCTTATAAATACTTGATGAGAATCTATTCTTGTGCTGAAGTAATTATAGTTTGTTAAAAATTATTGTTTTAAAACATTTCAACTTTCAGACATATATGATGAAGTGTTGGAAGGGTTTGGTTTCTTTTATTTGCATCTCCTGTTATATCACTTGAAGGAATTCATCATAGTTTCACATGCAGAAATAGTGATGATAATTCTACATCTCAGTCCATTTTGTCATTATGCATAATTCAAGGATAATAATTATACTACTCATCCAACCAAATGTGCAAAAATCTCAGACATCATGCAAACCTTAAAAAAGTAATTAAACATATAACCTCTGGTTCTGAAAAATTATCTTTTTCCTAGTACAATGTACTGTTTAAATAAACAGACAAATATTCACTTCATTTTTAATGAAAGAATGATGTGGGGTATATGTCAATAACACAGCAACCAAAGACACAAAAAGAAACACAATTCAGAACACCTATAGTGGTCAACAGTTGTTTATTTGTCCCTTTTAAAATATAAAATTATGTTTTGCAGTACTAATATATTCATCCACTCCTAGGTAATTTGATAATCATAACTTTCATTTATATAACATATTCAAACTTTTGTAATTCTGTGAAAAAATGGGTCAACTGGAACAAAATGCAAACTCAATCTGTAGGTCATTATTATACAATTATGCATAAATACTAGTAAATAAGTAGCAGTGCATAAAAATAGTCAAATGAAGCTCAGCTGACCTGTCTAAACAAATACATGGCCTTTTCTAATGTTGTAGCAAAACTTATGATTACTCTTGCTTGGTGTTCATGGTCTTATTAGTATGCATTCAGTTGACTTGAATAAAAATGTAAAGAGAGTGCTAAATCTAATGCCTTGTGAAGTCATTGAGCCAGGCTCTCTGCAGTTAAGCAACCCTTGCAACAACTCTTAAGAAAGTACTTTGAGAGGCCTGTTGAAAGGCCAAATTTTTGTCCCCATCCAAAATACCCTCTTTATTCAGTAGAAGTCTAAATTACTCTACTTCATTCTGGTCAACCTGTAACATACTTCTTTGGTAACTTGTACAGTTCATTCGATCTCGTTTCATATATGCATGAAATATTTGCCACTGGATATTAAGCAAACAAATATCTTTCATTACGTCAATTGATCCATGTATAAAGCATGAACATTGCTTAAAAGGGCCTCAGTCAAATATATATAATGACTAATGACCTTTACAAATTCCTAAAACAGCTGCCCATGTTGAATTTCACTGACCATTGATTTTATTTTGATAGTCCTAACTATAAAGTTTTACTACAAGTATCACGTTAACGTAAACATGATCCAAACAAATGAGGTCAAGGTCAGATAAACCAAGTTGTAAATACAAGTACACCTTGCAATCATTCCATACATCAAATATAGTTGACCTATTGCTTATAGTATATGAGAAACAGACCAAACCATGAAAACTTTATATTGACCAATGAACCATGAAAATGAGGTCAAGGTCAGATGAACCCTGCCAGAGAGACATGTACACCTTAAAATCATTCCATGCTTCAAATATAAAATAAAGAATGGAAATGGGGAATGTGTCAAAGAGACAATAACCCGACCAAAGAGCAGAAAACTGCCGAAGGCCACCAATGGGTCTTCAACACAGCGAGAAAATTCCATACCGTAGGCGGGCTTCAGCTGGCCCCTAAACAAAAATGTGTACTAGTTCAATGAAAATGGACGTCACACTAAACTCCAAAACATATAAATGAACTAAAATTAAAAAACATACAAGACTAACAAAGGCCAGAGGCTCCTGACTTGGGACAGGCGCAAAAATAGTTGACATATTGCTTATAGTATTTAAAAAACAAAATTAACCTGGAAAACTTAGCATTGACCAATGAACAATGAAATTGAGGTCAAGGTCAGATGATACCTGCAAGACAGACATATACACCTTATGATCAGTCTATACACCAAATTTAGTTGACCTATTGCTTATAGCTTATTGCTACATGTATTAAGAAAAACAGACCAAAAACACAAAAACTTAACATTGAGCAATGAACTGTGAAAATGAGGACAAGGTCAAATAAAACCTGCCAGACTGACATGTACATTGTAATATATTTCCATACATCAAATATAGTTCACCTATTGAATACAGTATTAGAAAAACAGACCAAAACACATAAACATAACTTTGATCACTGAACCATGAAAATGAGGTCAAGGTCAGATGACACCTGCCATTTGGACATGTATACCTTACAATCCTTCCATACACCATATATAGTAGACTTATTGCTTATAGTATCTGAGATATGGAATTGACCACGAAAATTTAACCTTGTTCATTGATCCATGAAATGAGATCAAGTGAAAACTGTCCGACAGGCATAAGGTACCTCGTACATACCAAATATAGTTATCCTGTTACCCATAATAAGAGAGAAATTAACATTACAAGAAATGTTAACTTTTTTTCAAGTAGTCACTGAACCATGAAAACGAGGTCAATGACAGATGGAAACTTCATATCATAAGTCATCTATATACAAAGTATGAAGCATCCAGGTCTTCTACCTTCTACCTTCTGAAATATTAAGCTTTTAAGTAGTTAGTTAAAAGTTGCTGCAGCCACCGGGTCACTATCCCTATGTCTTGCTCTCTGCAACAGAAGTCACAGACTAGAAAAAAATGGGGGTCACAGATCTTGTTTTTTTTTGTTAAAATATAATGAAATTAACGAAATCAGTTATTTCATATTGGTTACCTGATGTTCAGTGGTTGTAGTTTGTTGATGTGGTTCATAAGTGTTTCTCGTTTTTTATATATAGATTAGACCGTTGGTTTTCCTAATTGAATGGTTTTACACTAGTCATTTTTGGGACCCTTTATAGCTTGCTGTTTGGTGTGAGCCAAGGCTCCGTTTTGAAGGCCGTACTTTGACCTATAATGGTTTACTTTTACAAATTGTGACTTGGATGGAAAGTTGTCTCATTGGCACTCATACCACATCTTCTTATATCTATATATAGGGGGAAATTTAATTTTTCCTTGTTGAGGAAACATTAAACAGTAGAATTGGTTAAAATTCAATAAGAGAATTGCTTTTCATAAAAAATTTCAGTAATATCAAATAAAAATTGGGTGTCACTTGGCCTTTATATTTTCTTGAAAAATAAAAAAAAAAAAATTGTCCCATCAAATTCAATATAATTATTTGCCCTTGATCTTAAAAGGATTTTTTTCTGAAAATTTAAATACAATTAACAACACTTAATTTTTTGATAATTTAAAGTTTCAATTTCAAGTTTTATATATTTCTGTTGTATAATGAATGATACTTGGTACAATATTTTTAAATAAAAGATGTAAATTTGCAACCTGCCCTTAAGGGATGCTCAGAAAAAGACACCTCATCTACCTTAGATTATATGTCAACATTGAGGTTGTGAGATTGAACCCTGCAGGTGGGTTAGATGCCAATCTTAATTGACTAGGATTGCCTGTTTTCCTGCCAAAGGTTGGTGGTTCTCTCTGGGCACTCTTGCTTCCTCCACCAATAAAAAACTGGCTGCCACGAAAATAATCATGGTGCTGAAAATGGCTTTAAACAAAAAATAAATCAATCAATAAATAAATAAAACTTATATGAAGCTTGGTAGTGGTATGAAATATAAAGATCTGATTTGAAGTTGTTGAGAAAAATACAACAAAAATTTCAAGCAATTTTAGATTCAAAACTTTGTATTGTTTAAAAGAGCTCTTTATAAAATTAAAAACCAATTGTTCAGAGAACAATTGAAGGTCTTTCTACTTCAATTTCCTAAATAATTGATAAGAAGCTACTTCTGGTTTACTTAAAGTTACTGTTGGCATCCAATCATAGGTTTCTTCATAATGATTCATTAAATATATGGTTTCTATATACTTTTGCCTGAAATAAGGGAGATAATTGCTGACTTGTGGTTAAGAAAATGTCACTTCCGGTCTCAAAAGATAGCTGTATTTACAATGATTCCACAAATATATGGTTTTTATATACTTATGCCTCTAAAAATGGAGATAATTGGCTACTTCCAGTTAAAAAAATGTCACTTTCGGTCTCAAATGATAGCTTTATTCACACTGATTCCAAAAATATATAGTTTGTATATACTTATGCCTGTAATAGGGAAATAATTTGCTACTTCTGGTTTATAGAATGTCAATTCCGGTCTCAAATGATAGGTTTTCGTATGCCCATTTAAAAAATATATGATTTCTAGGTACTTTTTCATAAAATAAGTGTAAACATGACTACTTCCTGTTCACTAAAGGTCACTTCTGGTTGATATTTTCCAAGGTCACATGTCACTTAACATTTTGTTAAAAACCTTATGGCTTTATCATGTACCAATCTGAAGTAATAACCAATTTACCTTAAAATAAAATATTTGAGGGGCAATAACTCCTATAAGATGTCAGGATTGTTTCAGACCCAATGTATCATATCTTCATCACAATATAGCAAACATTTTGCACTAGTTCTTTTATATATAACGTTAAAAATATCAGAGAAAATGCAAAAACAAGCAAGACAAAATTGAGGACATGACCTTGACCTTCGACCTTGACCTCATTTTCTAAGTTAGGACCCAAGGACCTCAAATATAGAGACTTTAGGTTTATACGGCTTGCGGTTTATGAGTTACAAAAACATAATGACAAATTTATTTGGTAAAGGGAGATAACTCCTATAAGATTTCAATGGATCGCTTTGATCCAAATCAGCCAAAAATTCCTGAGGATGTAACAAACAAATATGAAAAAGAATTTTGTCGTTATCTTTTTTGCTAAGAGGAGATACAATAACAATAAAAACAGTGTTTGGGGAGATAACTCTTACAATAAAAAGTGCTCGGTTAAACAGGGTTAGTTACAAAAGCGCAATAACTGTTCGATATCATTTGAAAAAAATCTAAGCAACATCTTGCAAAACCACAATACCCCGCAAGAAAAAAATGTGGCGGAAGAAGATTAAAAATAATTAAAAACCAATTGTTCAGTGAACAATTGAAGGTCTTTCCACCTCAACTTTGATAATAAAGAATTAAAAAAAAACGGTGTTAGAAGATGTCACTTCTGGTTCATATCATTTGTTACTTCAAACTGATTTAAAAAAAATAAGATTTACAGGTACTTTTTTGTTGAATTAGTATGAAATAGACTACTTCCGGTTAAAATAATGTAACTTCCGGTTAACCCTTTAAAAGGTCAAATGTCTATTAACCAAATGCAAAAATCCTAATGGTTTTATAATGACCAGTATGAATATTTATCAAAGGTCAAAATCTAGAACGTTAAATTGACCTTTGACCTTGACCTCAATTTCAAGGTCATAGGTCAGTGATCTCAAATCTAAAGATCCCAGGTCATTCACGTGTATGGTTGAGGAGTAATACTGATTTCAAATACATAAGGGGAGAAAACTCCTATAAAGGGAGACCGAAACACTCCAACTTAAATGGGTTGAAGTTATGCCATGTCGTAAACAATTATTTGACAAACGCATTGTATCCTTAACTGTTACAGTTTCTTTGGAATAAAGATAACAAGCAAAGTTCAAAATTTAGAACATGACCTTGACCTTTGAGCTTGACCTCAATTTCCTCCAAATGGACTAAGGACTTTATATCAAAAGACTTCAGACCTCTTTGACCTATGATGTATGAAATTATTCAACATATCACTTAAGTTAAATTTTTAAAGGGAAATAACTCCCATAAGATGTCATTGGATCACTTCGGTTAAACTTAACCAAAACATCTTTAAGAGGAGACAAACAATTTGGTGAAAAGTTTGTTGATATAGTTTACAGTTTCAGAGAAATAAAGACAACAAGAAAAAGGGGACGCAGGGAGGTAACTCCTATAAGAATAAATGTTCCGTTACACAGGGTGAATGGGGAAATCCCCATCACTGTACAACATCATTGGCAAAAAATCCTTTCAATATGTCGTGAAACAAAAAAACATCTCAGACGGCAGAAGAAAAAAGACCTAATGATTGACTTGCCCAGTACCATGAAAATCAATCACAAATTGTTCCAATTATAGTTGTTTGAAGATTTTTTTCCATAACCAGTATTTTTGGATGTTGACTATTTAAATATACTTTATAGTTAGTGCAGCGATTATTCCCAACACAAAGTACAGAATTTACTCATGCTGAAAGTTAACATCAACCTACACATAGTATATACATAGAAACATACTATATATGGTACTCATGCTGAAAACACACATATAAATTTAAGAAAGAAATAGCATATTAAACGTTTGATAATTTATTATGTATTTGGACTATTTCATAGAAATATACACAATTTTAACATGAAATACAATTTCAGAAAACAAAATTTAACATTAAAATTGTTTTATTTCAATATAATAAGTACCAGTACATTGTACATAAAATTTCAACAATAAGTAAATGTTCTTCTCTTTGCTCCAAATTGTGTTAACTTTTAATTACATTCCACTTTTCTTCTTCTGAACTAATATATAAATTATATCACAATAATTAGTTTCTTATTTAAACACACTCATCTTTAAATAACGTTTAAAAAACTATATATATATATTAATTAAATTAAATATATATCCAAGTAAATGGCATGAACTAGGTGGTATACATCACATAGCTGTACTGAAATATATTGATATTGTGTGAAAATGTATATAATTTATTTGTTCAGTGTATGATCATTGGTGTTAATATGTCCTTTGATTGAGTTAAGCTATTTCAGTTGATATTTTATAGTGTGTCTTTCTATGTTGTGATGTTACACTATTGTTTCAGAAAAAGGGTGAAGGTTTGGTACCATTAAAATGTTTAAACCCACTGCATTTGTTTGCACCTGTCCTAAGTCAGGAATCTAATGTTCAGTAGTTGTCGTTTGTTGATGTGGTTCATAAGTGTTTCTCGTTTCTCGTTTTTTATATAGATTAGACCGTTGGTTTTCCCTTTGGATGGTTTTACACTAGTAATTTTTTGGGGCCCTTTATAGCTTACTGTTCGGTGTGAGCCAAGGCTCCGTTTTGAAGACCGTACTGTGACCTATAATGGTTTACTTTTATAAATTTTGACTTGGATGGAGAGTTGTCTCATTGGCACTCATACCACATCTTCTTATATCTATATAAAGATAGATAATTTTTGTAACATTTCACTTTGAGTTATACCTTAAAGTCCTTTTATTTTTAGAAACATACACATGATCTCTCTGAGAGCATTCTATTTACTTTTGTACCAGCTAAGGGTCCAATAAACTATACTAACTTTTTGAAGTATAATCTAGGCAATTGCTAGATGGTGGAGGGTTGCCTCCCCTGACTCACTGTGAGACTATATGGCCCGAGAACACAGTTATTTCATATTTCGCATTTCTTTTAGACAATAAATTATAATTAAAAAAATCGCACGTGCTCTATCTCAAAAAGATTTTTACAGTATAGAGAGCTACTTTTGGTACAAATAATATCAAAATTATAGAAAAGTCTACCAGCTCTAACTCAAAATATGGACAATTCTATGTTACAGGGGTCTTTAATTCAGTTTGACAGCTTCAGACATACTACTTTTTGACCTTTTTTAACAAGACCAAATTTTTTAACATGTAATTTCATCCCCTACTTAATATTTCATGCATAAAATATGAAGAAATAAATTTGGAAAGTGTATGAAAAAAATTTGCAAGTTATATACTGTCCCAGGGACTCTATTTGTAGACAATGAAAATCAAAGGACGTTAACTGTGTCCTCAGACCATACAATGTATGAATTAACGTTATATGTTAAAGCCAATTATTATTCTATCCAACTTGTAAAGGAAAGGATTTATCTAGGCTGAGCCTTTATCCAATCCCTTTGTTTGAATATAATTGATTTAAACAATAAAATCTTTGAATTGAATTGAATTGAAGTAAATGTTTAAGATAAATAAAAAATTATTAACATGTAATATGTGACTTGAAAGGTAGTGTTGCTCTCCACCTATTGCAGTTCATTCAAATTTCGGACCCAATTGTATTTTGTTTTATCAACCAAACTGTTCAACTGGTCATAACTTTAACAAACTAGGCCCAGTCCTTCCTCCTTATGGTCCATTTTTCAAATTTTTTGCCTCAACTTTTTGAAAATCTGTGATCCACCACTGATAACAACAGGTTGACTTGTATCATTGAAGTTGTATGGCACATATTCATACAGCATTGCACAGTAGGTAGTTAACAATATATAATCAGGACATTTTAATGCCCTTTTTGTAACTATCACAAGATATTATACAAAATTGTATCAAAATAGATGTATTGTAAATATAAACACTCACTTAAAATATTTAACAAACATGACAAAAAATGCACATAAGTATATCTTGAAGCATAACAGTATAAATCATTACATAAAAGATTATGTTATGTACCCTTTTCGTGAAACATAAAATATATATTTGTTGTATGAAAAATGTATTTTATATTTCTTATATCCATACATTAGATTTCAATTATTCTGCCAGGTATCTCACACTGTTTCATCATATTTACAATAATTATTACTGATGATGTGGGAAATGTATGTAAATGTGTGTATGTTGAGAGTATGAGTATAACACATTACTTCTAATGCAGTAAAAAAATTAAGATATCATTTTATCCATGTACACTTCAAATATACGAAACATTTACATAAAAATATATATCCACTCATAAAATTCACTGGGGTTAACATCGTGAAGACTTTATGTTATCTTAATTCTTTCTTTCAATAAACATGGTGTTTGCAGGTCAATGTCAGTTATAGGTCAGGGTTTCTGATAAATCTGTTTCCCTCTGAATGGTTACCATAGTAAACATATTTACTTTTCCCCCAGGCAGCTGTAAATAGAATATAAATGTATTGCATTAATTTCTCTCAAATAAAATATAAATGTTGTAAATTCACAGAACATATCATATAGAGGTGTTTCCATTAAATGGCTTTAATCTTTTTGGATAACTTTTAATTAACCAAGGAAACACTTCAAAATTTCATCCTGTCTTATAATGCTAATAACAAGCTTTTAAATTTAACCAAAGAGAACAGCTGTTGATTAAGATAAACAATTTAATCGATTGGAGGTTGATATTATAAAATTGTAGCCTTTGTATGAGGTCAATATATCCATGTATCGACCTAATACAAAGGTGAAAATTGATACAATACTTGCCTGTATGCTGATCAGGAATACATACAGATGGGAGAGGTTGACTATTATTAGCTCACCTGGCCGAAAGGCCAAGTTAGTTTTTCTCATCACTTGGCGTCAGTAGTCGCCGTACTTAGCGTCAGGAGTCGCCGTACTTGGCGTCAGTAGTCGTCGTCGTTAACTTTTACAAAAACCTTATCCTCTGAAACTACTGGGCCAAATTTAATCAAACTTGGCCACAATCATTATTGGGTATCTAGTTTAAAAAATGTGTCCAATGACCTCGCCTGCCAACCATGATGGCCAACATGGCTAAAAATAGAAGATGGGGGGTAAACTGCAAGTTTTGTCTATTATCTTGAAAACCGCTATGAATAGCAAAAATCTGACAGGGGGGGCAAAAATTTCAGAATGTTGAGATCTGACTACCTGCTGTCCATTTACTTCAAAATTTTCAGACAACTTTATATAGAAGTTATTATCCTTAAATGTCAAATTTTATCAATTTTTTTCATTTTTGCTTGTTATGATGAAAACTAAAATAGATAAGAGAGAAACTTTATTCAAGAAAAATGATCAGCAAGACAAAATCTACAAACAAGTCACATGGTTAAATAGTCAGATGACTCCTTATTAGAGTTATTGCCCTTTAATGATGATTTTTAACAAATTTTTGCTTTTTGCCTAATATCTTACAAAAATCTTCTACCCTGAAACTACTAGGCCAAATTTTACCAAACTTTGCCACAATCATTATTGGGGTATACTGTTTAATGGGTCCGATGACCCCGTTTGCCAACCAAAGTGGCCAACATGGCTAAAAATAGAAGATAGGGGTAAACTGCAAGTTTTGTCTATTATCCTGAAAACCGCTATGAATAGAGAAAATCTAACAGGGTGAAAAATGTTGAGAATGTTGAGATCTACCTCACTCCATATCTCAGATACTATAACAATAGGTCTACTATATTTGGTGTATAGTATGAGTGTAAGGTGTACATGTCCAACTGGCAGGTGTCATCTGACCTTGACCTCATTTTCATGGTTCAGTTGTTAAAGTTAAGTTTTTGTGTTTTGGTCTTTTTTTCTAATACTGTATGCAATAGGTCAACTATATTTGGTGTATGGAAATATATTACAATGTACATGTCAGTCTGGTAGGTTTTAATTGACCTTGACCTCATTTTTATGGTTCATTGGTCAATGTCAAGTTTTCCTGGTTGGTTTGTTTCTTAGATACTATATGCAATAGGTCAACTATATTTAAAGCATGGAATGATTGTAAGTTGTTCATGTCTGTCTGGCAGGGTTCATCTGACCTTGACCTCATTTTCATAATCCATTGGTCAATATAAAGTTTTCATGGTTGGGTCTGTTTCTTGTATACTATAAGCAATAGGTCAACTATATTTGGTGTATGGAATGATTGTAAGGTGAACCTGTATTTCTGGCTTGATCAGGGAGGTGGACTGTTATAATACTTTACTAAACCTGAATGCTGATTGTGATTATATTCCATCTGGGGAAGTGGACTTTTATTATACAATACTAATTTGATACTGATCAGGATTATATACAGACTTGGGAGGTGGACTGTTATGACAGAATACAAACCTGTATGCTGATCAGGATTACATACAGACTTGGGAGGTGGACTGTTATGACAGAATACAAACCTGTATGCTGATCAGGATTACATACAGACTTGGGAGGTGGACTGTTATGACAGAATACAAACCTGTATGCTGATCAGGATTACATACAGACTAGGGAGGTGGACTGTTATGACAGAATACAAACCTGTATGCTGATCAGGATTACATACAGACTTGGGAGGTGGACTGTTATGACAGAATACAAACCTGTATGCTGATCAGGATTACATACAGACTTGGGAGGTGGACTGTTATGACAGAATACAAACCTGTATGCTGATCAGGATTACATACAAACTTGGGAGGTGGACTGTAATGATACGTTACTAACCTGAATGCTGATTGAGATTATACTATCCTGAATGCTGATTGAGATTATACTATCCTGAATGCTGATTGAGATTATACTAACCTGAATGCTGATTGAGATTATACTATCCTGAATGCTGATTGAGATTATACTAACCTGAATGCTGATCAGGATTACGTGCAGACTGTGGAAGTGGACTGTAATTCGAATCATCTGTCTCAGGGGATATTTTTGGGTCAGGAATCAGCTGTTGATAAAAGAAAAGTATTGAATGAATTACTGTAAATTCAGAAATTAATGTGAGGTTTTTATTAATGCAATAATGTAACTCCTTTAGTATTGCAATAATAAGAACTTGCATTCTGATATATGAAACATATATTTGTATGAAGCTTTTCCTAAAATCACAATTATCAAACTCGCATTTTTGTTAATTCTTCAAAAATGGCAATAATAAATGCATGCAATAATTTATGAATTTACAATACTAAATAATAGGTGGAATTTCAGCTGTGACTGGTATAGTCATTATGATGTATGATAACATGTGTAATCTTGTTTATTAGGTTTGTGATAAAGATTTTCAGTATGTTGTCTATTTTTGAGTGGTATGGTGTTTTAGTTATGACTTGTATGGACATCATTGTGTGTATAGGCCATAATGTTTATTTGTTGTTGTGGTATGGTGTTTTAGTTACTTGTAAGGACATCATTGTGAATATAGGTCATAATGTCTATTTTTGTGTGGTATGGTGTTTTAGTTTCTTGTAAGGACACCATTGTGAATATAGGTCATAATGTATATTTTTGTGTGGTGTGGTGTTTTAGTTACTTGTCAGGACACCATTGTGAATATAGGTCAGTTATTTTTGTGTGGTGTTTTAGTCACTTGTAAGGACACCATTGTGAATATAGGTCAGTTATTTTTTGTGTGGTGTTTAAGTTACTTGTAAGGACACCATTGAGAGTATAGGTCATAATGTCTATTTTTGTGTTGTATGGTGTTTTAGTTGTAACTTGTATGGACATCATTGTGAGTATAGGTCATAATTTCTATTTTTGTGTGGTATGGTGTTTTAGTTGTAACTTGTATGGACATCATTGTGAGTATAGGTCATAATTTCTATTTTTGTGTGGTATGGTGTTTTAGTGGTGACTTGTATGGACATCATTGTGAGTATAGGTCATAATGTCTATTTTTATGTGGTATGGTGTTTTAGTTACTTGTCAGGACACCATTGTGAATAAAGGTCAGTTATTTTTGTATGGTGTTTTAGTTACTTGTAAGGACACCATTGTGAGTATAGGTCATAATGTTTTTTTTTTGTGGTATGTGCTTAGTTACTTGTAAGTACACCATTGAGAGTATAGGTCATCATGTCTATTTTTGTGTTGTATGGTGTTTTAGTTGTGACTTGTATGGACATCATTGTGAGTATAGGTCATAATGTCTATTTTTGTGTGGTATGGTGTTTTAGTTGTAACTTGTATGGACATCATTGTGAGTATAGGTCATAATGTCTATTTGTTGTTGTGGTATGGTGTTTTAGTTGTGACTTGTATGGATATCATTGTGAGTATAGGTCATAAAGTCTATTTTTATGTAGTATGGTGTTTTAGTTGCGACTTATGAGGACATCATTGTGAGTTTAGGTCATAATGTCTATTTTTGTGTGGTATGGTGTTTTAGTTGTAACTTGTATGGACATCATTGTGAGTATAGGTCATAATGTCTATTTGTTGTTGTGGTATGGTGTTTTAGTTGTAAATTGTATGGACATCATTGTGCGTATAGGTCATAATATCTATTTGTTGTTGTGGTATGGTGTTTTAGTTGTGACTTGTATGGACATCATTGTGAGTATAGGTCATAATGTCTATTTTTATGTGGTATGGTGTTTTAGTTGTGACTTATAAGGACATCATTGTGAGTATAGGTCATAATGTCTATTTTTATGTGGTATGGTGTTTTAGTTGTGACTTATAAGGACATCATTGTGAGTATAGGTCATAATGTCTATTTTTGTGTTGTATGGTATTTTAGTTGTGACTTGTATGGACATCATTGTGAGTATAGGTCATAATGTCTATTTGTTGTTGTGGTATGGTGTTTTAGTTGTGACTTGTATGGACATCATTGATAGTATAGGTCATAATGTCTATTTTTGTGTTGTATGTTGTTTTAGTTGTGACTTGTATGGACATCATTGTGAGTATAGGTCATAATCTCTATTTGTTGTTGTGGTATGGTGTTTTAGTTGTAACTTGTATGGACATCATTGTGAGTATAGGTCATAATGTCTATTTTTGTGGTGTATGTTGTATTAGTTGTAACTTGTATGGACATCCTTGTGAGTATATGTCATAATGTCTATTTTTATGGTATGGTGTTTTAGTTGTGACTTATAAGGACATCATTGTGAGTATAGGTCATAATGTCTTTTATCTGTGTGGTATGGGATTATACCTGTGGCAATACTATTATAAGTAAAAACTATCAGTTCCTCTGACCAAGAGACAATAAAAAAATGGCTGCATGTCACAATATGAAGCGTTTTTTGTCCCCACCATGACATGTTGTGGGGGACATAGAAATACTGGGGTCTATCTGTGTGTTTGTCTATCAGTCCGTCCGGTCTACAATTCTTGCCAGATTTTTATAAACTTGTAACATAGGTTTATATCAGCAATGTCTCTGACAAGCTTGAAAATTAGTGTCGATCAAATATTTTTAAAAGAGTTATGGCTATAGTCTAAAGTCTAAAGTTTTTTTTTGTTATTGCCCTTTGATAGATAAAATATGTGCAACACAGGGGACATTGGAACTCTGTTCTTTTATTATAATTCAATGAAGAAAAAGAATGAGATATGCAGACAAAATATTTGAACATGTTATTTTACCTCACTTTCCTCTGCCTTGATGACTTTCATAAAAGACCCTTTCTCTTTAGCTGTAATTAACTCCTCTTGTTTGACTGGTGAGGAGTCTAAGAACTTAAGTTTTGGTAATTTATATAATACATAATACCTGAAATAAGGAAAATATATAGTGTAAAAATAATGTTTGATGTTCATAATTGGATACCATCAATGTTTTTATATCTATTTTAACAATAATGTTGCTTTTAAAAGTTTCTCATGCTAATATGAGTGAAGATCTTATTTGTGCACCTTTGTATCTAAAGGACAAAGTATATGGTTTATTTATAAGATTTTAACTGCTGAATGTCTGTTATGAATGTTATGAAACAAGAGATAGGTGCTGTTTTTCTGGTGTATGTATCCTCAACGTCAAATGTTAAATTTTCTGATTAGCTCCATTTCAGAATAAGTATTGATGATAGATAACAGATATTCTGTTTACAGTTGCACTCACTCTAATTTAAAGCAGAAATATGAGACACCCCCCTTCTTTTCAGTCACACTTCATTGAGTTTTTAGTCTTTGCCTTGTTTAAATTGTATATATAAATTTTCAGATTATGTTCAGTTATGAAAAAATACTTGTAACATATCTTTGCTATCTAGTATAAAGTTAAATTAGTATCCATGCATCCTAGCTGTATGCAGAAGCTTCAATCATGCTCAAGTGAATGATTTATTACGTTTTTTGAACTGATGGTCTATACAAAGAAATTATAAATTATACATTTAGTCACAAGCTTTTACAAAGGAAGGTATATTTTGAAATTAAAATACTGACCTTTAAATGCACAGTTTTTTTTTAAAAGTTTACTGCATTATTCAATCATAATTCATAAAATTACAGTGATCATACACTGTTAGGCTTGGAATGTACAAAAATCTGTTAAACCATAACTGACATTTTTAACATCATTATATTTGTGTATAGTACATGAGGAAAACAGAAAAAAAAATTTACCTGTATCTTTGGTAATCTTCTTCATCATTGTCTGGACTAGATAACTCATTTGGACACGCCAAGTTCCCCAATAAACTTAGGTATGTTAATGATGGAACATTTTCTGCAAGGTTGTCTAACAAATGATATAAATCTGTTATCTGATTAACAGTTAAGAACTAGCAACAAAGTCCATTGTAGAAGAGGAGGCATAGGCAGCCTGACATATTTTTACAAATGACATTTTCTAATGCTCAAACTGCATTTCAGTAAATTAAGATGCCATAATTATATAGCTGGTTGTAATATTAAAAAAAACCCAAAAAAGTCAATGTTGTTCCTACAGGCTTGTATTTACACAGAATCCATGACAAATCACCCCACTGGCAAATCGGCCCACACCTAATCGCCCCACTTTTTCACCAACTCACCCCACTTTCTAAAAAATCGCCCCACTCTTGTTTACCAACTCGCCCCACTTATGAAAAAGCATAAAATCCCATTGAAAATAGGTTGGATAACTTGCCCTACTTATAAAAAGGGTTAAAATTCCACTGAAGTAAGGTCTGCCAACTCACCCCACTCATGACAAATAGATAAACCACGATGAATTTAGTAATGCCAACTCGCCCCACTTATGAAAAAAGATGCAACCCCTTGTATATCTATGTTCCTGCCGCATTTATAAATAAAATCAATACCTATGAAAACCTTAGATAAATTTTCATTTTTTGTTTGTTTTCAAACCATAAACAAAACTTACCAATCAAATTTTTAAGAACAACAAAACCTGCTTTGACTACTTTTACTGACAAAAACACGACACACGCCTGTTGTAAATGAATGAATGGACATTCTCTTTGATATTTACTTGAAAGTAATATTTGCCTTTCAATTAACTGTATCTGTATCTGTATGTTCTATCTTCTGCCAATCTAGGCACACCTCCACAATTGGAGTAACAGGTTTCTTTTCAATTGTTATGCAAATAACTAAGCTTACAAGAATAAAGTTATTAAAATTACACGATAATAAATAATGTATTTACAATTATATTTTAAGAAAGTGAAACATCATTTAATTTCAATAATAATAATTTAATAAATTTTCGTTTTTTTTTTGTATTATGTGTAGATTAGTTTTCATTTAAGTGGAGCGAGTTGGCTGACATGAAAATTATATATTCATCTAGATTTTACCTTTTTTTATTAAGTGGGGCGAGTTGGCAGGAGTAAAATTAACGGGATTTAACCCTCTTCACAAGTGGAGCGATTTTTTAAGAAGTGGGGCGAGTTGGTAAACCAGTTTGGGGCGATTTTTTTAAAAGTGGGGCGATTTGGTGAAAAAGTGGGGCGATTTGCCAGTGGGGCGATTTGTCCTGCTTCCATTTACACAGTATAAAGCTCTCATTTCTTTTCAATGCTTGTCTTTAGATGTAGGGTATGTAGAATTAAAGTAAGGTCTATTTAAGCATTTTTAACATTAATTTAACCCTAGTTTCAGGCCAAATGTCCTTGCTAATTTCTATATATTTGTGCTCTCTTATAATATGTAATTGTATAATAATAAAACATGCACTTTCATCTTTTTCAGCAAGCTACTGAAATATATGCAAGGTGACTTGCCATTTATTTCATATCACATATTGATAACTGTCACATATGTAGACATGAATGTAAAAAATGTGAGAGTCTTACAAAGAAGATGAGTAAGCAGAATTGACTGAGTCATTAAAAAGTATTGAATGGAATACTAAATAACATGCTATTTTGGTATTTAGGAAACCTTAATAAATCACTCAATAAATCATTTTTAAAAGTAGCAGGTGCACAACTTCATGCCCTGAAAAAGAATTTATGACAGTTTTGTTAACTGCATGGGAATGACAAGATACGACCACAAAAATGTTTGGCAGTACATCTAGTTTAATAGAATACTAGAACACACCCGCGACATTGCGGGTCGATGACTGAATTTAGTCATGCTGATTGTAAGGTGCACAGTTTTCTCTGCTTTCAAAATCTTTCTGTTTGAACCCGTCCTGGTTTTCTTACTACAATAAACTTACTATAAACTAAATTTAATTTTTGAACTAATTAACCAAAATTAATACATGTAGTGGTATTGAGGTGGAAGAAAACAGACTTGTTAAATAGTGTAACATAGTGTAACATAGATATAAACTACTGGAAGAATTCCAGGTTCTCTTGATAGAGGAGGGGTTTACAGAAGGTAACAGGTAACCGGAAACTACATGTGACATATACTATTTATCAGTATTGGATTTGACCCAGAACTTGTTAATTATTGGTAATATCAATTATGTGGGGCAAAGAAGGACCTGGAATGGTGTAATTTTTAAACAACACCATTGGCCTATATTAGTTATATATAAAGTTGAATTCTTTGATTTGTCATGCCGGCTAACCAATTGGACCTCGTTATTTTAGTAGTATAGATACCATGGCAAAGGAAACACAGATTTGTTTAATATATACAAGGCCCTTTATAGCTTACTGTTCGGTGTGAGCCAAGGCTCTGTGTTGAAGACCGTACTGTGACCTATAATGGTTTACTTTTATAAATTTTGACTTGGATGGAGAGTTGTCTCATTGGCACTCATACCACATCTTCTTATATCTAAATATGTCAGCGCACTACATAATATCACCATCATTGAGAAAAGGATACACAATTTTTGTTCAGTGTGAGTGTGTGAAGATGATTTAAACGGGGAAATACTACATCATCACTTAATCTGTTGTTATCAAGAACCAGTTCCTCTAAATTCTGAAATCTTTCTAAATCGGATAATGACCTGAAATAAAATGATTTTTATATTATCACGTTTCAATTATCCTATGATGTATAAGGCATTAGAGCATACACCTTTCAATTATCCAATGATTTATAAGGCATTAGAGCATACATCTTTCAATTATCCAATGATTTATAAGGCATTAGAGCATACACCTTTCAATTATCCAATGGTGTATAAGGCATTAGAGCATACACCTTTCAATTATCCTATGATGTATAAGGCATTAGAGTATACACCTTTCAATTATCCTATGATGTATAAGGCATTAGAGCATACACCTTTCAACTATCCTATGATTTATAAGGCATAAGGGCATACACCTTTCAATTATCCAATGATTTATAAGGCATTAGAGCATACACCTTTCAATTATCCTATGATTTATAAGGCATTAGAGCATACACCTTTCAATTATCCAATGATGTATAAAGCATTAGAGCATATACACTGAATGGTGTCACTGTAAAGATATAGTCAAGATTTTGCAATGCCCTTTAGAAACTTATTGTTTATTGTGGTTTACTTTTAACGTACAATGTTTATTAAGCTTGATACCTTGACAGAATTTTTTAATTATGCACTTTATAAATTAATTTCTTTTCTCTACCTGTACATACATGTATAAGTCCTTGATTTGTTTAATTAAAAACTTACTTCAACTGGTTAAAACTCAGATCAAATCTCTTTGTAATAGATGAATATTTTTCAGCAAGAAAAGTCGGAATACATTCTTCATTTTGTCCAATATAAGACAGCTGAAATGATATATCATACATACGATGAATGAACAGATTATTCAACTAAAAGACATGCAAATGTCTGTCTTGTGAATGATTTAGAGACTGTTTGATCTGAAAACCTTTGAGAAGTTATAAATGCATAGTTTATTTTATTTGATACATGTACAAGGATTTCAAATTAATAAAAAAAAAAAAATTTTAAAAGTTTTTATCTATATTTCTGAAACATAAAATGCATTTAAATTTTTATTTTTACTTGGTCCTGACATGATTGTGGGTCAACTCAGGCCGGAGACAACTTGGCCCAAGTAAACAATGTTGATCTAGGACTAAAACATAAGACAATGTTGACCGTCTAAGTCAACTCAGACAAAGTACAGGTATAAAAGAAAGACTTGTCCTCAATTAAATGTTATAGATTAGATCACATAAAAGTATCTTATATATGTTGCTGCATTTGCAAATAAAGCTCCATATAAAAATAATTGGTTAAATGTGAAACTATTACTTCATCATGGGTATTTTATCATATACTAATAAAATCTATATTAAATTTTAAATTCTTTATCTCATTGCAATTATATTTTGTATATTACCATACGTCATAAATTAGATTACCAATCAGAAATCTAATTAAACGATCGATGGAAAAATTGAAAGAACAATTAAGGTGGTACCCAACACCTTGACTAACATTAATTTGGCTCGTTTAATTTTCATAAAATTTTGACAAAATGTTTACTTTGACCCTTTGACAAAAATATAAAAATTTCAAAAAAATTTGAACCAACCACTTTATCAGAAAAATTTCTTTGGTTATATAGCAGTTTGACAAACACTAACTTTGATCATTGAGAAGCTTAATATTTCCTAAACAAAAGAACGTAATTAAAACGTTTAGCTGATTTTTACAGAGTTATCTCCCTGTAGTGTTAGGTACCACCTTAAACTTTACAAATCAATACAAAAATACATTAGCCTTTCCAAAATTGTCATTTTGTAGAAGATTTGAAGTTGCTTTCAGGCCAAGTTGTCTTGTACTCCTGCCATGCCTTCAAAATTTTGCAGGTCTGTACTCTTTGAGTAAATTTTGTAGGTCATATTTCAAAATTTCTTCTGATGAAGCTTAAACAAGCTACATGTAGGTCTTTTTTTTTGTGATTGGGCAGTCAAATTAAGAAGACAGTAAGATTCCTGTTAGTTTGTTGTGGTGTTCGTAGGGAAGGATTCAATCCTTTTCAGCCCACCATAGTTTCGTAATATTTTAAAACGATGCAGGACGTGACATCCATACAGCCACGTCGTCCATAGGATGTTTTGTCCATACCTTGAAAAGATGTATCGGCCATAGGACAACATCGTCCATATTTTGTGAAGATTTCCATGGTTTTTTTCTTCGGAAATACATTTTATGTATAAATTATTGTGATATATACATATAGATGGATATTATAACTCATAAATGTATTATGCTGTATTAACATTATTTGTCATGTTTTTATATGCTATACACTTGAAATACGCATCATATATATTATACATAAATGTGCTTTATCTAATAAAATATTTATATTATTTTCTCAATGTGCTTTATCTAATAAAGTATTTAGATTATTTTCTAAATGGATTTTTAATATCTTGCGTAACACAAACAGAAAAAATAAAACAAATAAAAACATATCCAAAATGGGAGATTAATTTCTGTCATAGTTAAGTCTAGTTTTAAAATATCAAATTTAGTAATCAGATAATGATTAATTTTAAATATTTAAGAAGATTGTTAATTGCTTATTATCATTTCTTTGATGAACATAAGTATTAATTATGATTTTGTCAAGAAATTGTAAAGGAAATACAAAACAAGATCACTATAAAAACAGCACCCAAGCTGAGTTCCAGCAGAGACAAACATACATTGGGAAGAGAAATTCTTGTTCTTACGAGAATAAAATATGGTACGCCGTACTGCACAGATGGAATATGCTGTTTAGTTTCTACTCTCTGTTAAAAAGCTGTAAATCCATTTTCAAAGTCATAGTAGGGATGAATTATCAATAGCATTAATTTAAAACCAGTATTCTATGAGTTGAACAGCAGATGTACAGAGGTAAAAATAAATAAATAGTCGACATCTACAAATGTATACTGACTCTTTCAAACCAGCAAACTTTCATAAATTGTTTTGTTATATTTTAAAATTAGGCCATTAGTTTACTCAATTGAATTGTTTCATATTTTTCAAGTTGGGGCCTTTTTATAGCCGACTATATGGAATGGATTTTTCTCATTGTTGAAGGCCATATGGTTGCCTATAATTGCTTACATCCACTTCAATTGAACTTTGGTGGATAGTTGTCTCATTGGCAATCATACCACATCTCCTTATTTTTATATTGTACATAATAAATACTACTGACACATCCTATGGACGACGTGGAAGTATGGCCGTCGCGTCCCGAAAGCTTTTAGAACTATAACATACATCAATCTTGCATAGTTTAATGCCATATTTCACAACAATTAAAATTTTGTAATGAACTATTTTGTCTATTCCAGTCACTGAATTGGTACACCACTGTCTCCTAATGGCGGTCTATATTTATTTTAAATGCTTCAACAGTTTTGGAAGCAATAACATCAACTGGCAGATTATTCCTTTCCTGTCGGTTTATATTATACTTGTGAAAATATTGTCTGCTTTTTTTAAATTTCAAATTCCAATAAGGCAATATGGGACTGAGTAAACGATTTTTTTTCTCTCATTAATTATAATTGCAAAGTCTTGTTAGTTCTTTAAAAGATCGACAGACCTGACCACTTTGAAACTGTTCTATTGTTTCATCTTCTGTTATCTCTGGGTTTACTTTCTCTTCAACTTCGTCTGCCATTTTTAGAATCACGTGACACGGAATTTCACGTCCGGAATTTTACTCATATTCCGCGTTTTTTCAACATTTAGAAAAAAATTTCAACAGACAATAACAAAAATGGCGGAATTGAAAAATCCAGAGATTTTAGAAAATCATGACTTTAATGTACAAATACCTCTACGAAGACTTTCAAATGGAGAAATATTGAACAATATGTCTGTAAATGAAACAAATGGAGACAAGAATGGACACGGAGAAAGCGATGTTCCTGATTTGGGAGATCACTACCTTGTTCGAAGATCTGATGGAACTTGGCGTACGACTATTTACTAATTTTCTTAAACTTTGGCTTTTGAAAATTTGTGTTTTCATCTGTTGGTCCCTAAACAATTTCTTTTGGTGTGTTTCATTGATCGATTTCCTGAGTAGCTTCGAAACATTGACTATGTCCCCAATCTATTAAAGGAATTCACGCCATCAAAGGAATTCTAGACTGCAGTATCAAGACAAATACGAAATAGGCACCATGATAATTCATCAGTGATTTGTTCATAAAAATTTGCACAAATAATCTTCATACATAATCAAGCGAAAAAATCTGTTTTAAAAAGAGGGGTCCATGTACTCGTTTTTCGAGCTAATGATTAAAATCTGTTGAAAATGCATCTTTCCATGATATGTCCCAGTTTCACGTCGCTAAAATAACATTTTATGTAAGCAACGTCATTTCCTCCTCTGTAACTGTATCCTATACCCTTAATTCATTTTAGTTTGTATTTCACAGTTTGGACCACTAAACAAAATCATGATCTCTCAGGTGCTACAGGGAGGAATGGGGATATCCATATCTGTGATCACCAGTTCACCTTTCTAGTTTATATTTCAATTCTTTAATTAGTTATCCTTTTTATAACATTGACTCTTAATTTATATTATTAACTAATAGATCAATGGAAATGTGTTAAAACCATTTGTCATTATTGACTGGTCAGAGAAAGTTTTGGGTATTAGGACAATGCAAGTAGCATCACCCTAGTTTGCCACATTTTGTTGTGGAAGTACATGTAATACATACCAATCTTCAATTCCAGTAGAGTCAACATATAGGTTCAGTCTGTGGTTTAAGTTTTTTAGACATCAATAAGTTTCATGCTATTTTTTGAAACTTGGGCAGAAGCTTGATTATGATAAAAAGACAGCTGTATCCAGAGCAAAATTTTGAAAAATACTTTCTTTTGATATTTCTGTATTTTGCTGATAAATGGAGGGGTTTTTATACGACCGCAAACAAATTTTTGTGGTCGTATATTGGTATGACGTTGGCGTTGTCGTCGTCGTCCGAAGACACACTGGTTTTTTGCACTCTAACTTTAGTTTAAGTGAATGGATCTCTATGAAATTTTACCACAAGGTTCAATACCACAAAAGGAAGGTTGGGATTGATTTTGGGGGTTATGGTACCAACAGTAAAGGAATTAGGGGCCAAAAATAAGCATTTTTGTAACTTCCAGACATAACTTGTGTGTTAGTGTATGGATCTCTCTGACATTGTACCACAAGGTTCCATATCACAAAAGGAATGCTGGGATTGATTTTGGGGGTAATTGCCTCAAAATTTTAGGATTTAGGGGCCAAAAAGGGGCAAAAAACAAGCATTTTTCTAGTTTCATGACAATAACATGTGTGTAAGTGTATGGATCTTTTTGATATTGTACTACAAGGTTCCATATCATAATGGGGAAAGCTGGAATTGAGTTTGGGGGTAATTGCCGAAACGTTTAGGAATTGGGGGCCAAAAAGGGGCCAAAAATAAGAATTTTTCTAGTTTCCAGACAATAACTTGTGTTCAAGTGTATGGATCTCTCTGAAATTGTACTGCAAGGTACCATACCACAAAGTGAAGGCTGGGATTGATGATGGGGGTAATTGCCTCAATATTTTAGGAATTAGGGGTCAAAAAGGGGCAAAAAACAAGCATTTTTCTAGTTTCAGGACAATAACTTGTGTGTAAGTGTATGGATCTTTTTGATATTGTACTACAAGGTTCCATATCACAATGGGGAAAGCTGGAATTGAGTTTGGGGGTAATTGCCGAAACGTTAAGAATTGGGGGCCAAAAAGGGGCCAAAAATAAGAATTTTTCTAGTTTCCAGACAATAACTTGTGTTCAAGTGTATGGATCTCTCTGAAATTGTACTGCAAGGTACCATACCACAAAGTGAAGGCTGGGATTGATGATGGGGGTAATTGCCTCAATATTTTAGGAATTAGGGGTCAAAAAGGGGCAAAAAACAAGCATTTTTCTAGTTTCAGGACAATAACTTGTGTGTAAGTGTATGGATCTTTCTGAAATTGTACTACAAGGTTCCATATCACAAAGGGAAAGCTGGGTTTGAGTTTGGGGGTAATTGCCCTAAACGTTTAGGAATTTGGGGCCAAAAAACAAATTTTTCTAGTTTCCAGACAATAACTTGTGTTCAAGTGTATGGATCTCTCTGAAATTGTACTGCAAGGTACCATACCACAAAGGGAAGGCTGGAATTGAGTTTGGGGGTGATGAATCATAAGGGGGTTCAAAAAATTTGGGGGGGGGGGATTTTTTTTTTTCATTTTTTTTTTCTTTTAAAATTTTCCATTGTAAGTTGGTTATTTCTGATTTATATTTGAAAGCAAATAATAATGATATGGTAGGAGATACACACCAAACAGGATGTGTAAATTATTATATAATAAGTATTGTGCAATAGCAAGAAATCTTCAATTGCACAGTATTGCGCAATAGCAAGAAATATCCAATAGCACAATATTGCGCAATAGCAAGAAATTGTCAATTGTACAGTATTGCACAATAGCAAGAAATATTTAATTGCACAGTATTGTGCAAAAGAAGATACTTCGTATAAATTGCTTATTTCTTGACCAATTTCAATGGGGTTTTGTTCTTGAATTCTTGGGGTTCTTTAATATGCTGAATCTAACCGTGTATTTAGTTTTTGGATTTTGGGCCCCGTTTTTAAATTGGTCCACATTGAGGTCCAAAGGGTCCAAAATTAAACTTTGTTTGATTTCATCAAAAATTGAATTATTGGGGTTCTTTGATATGCCGAATCTAACCGTGTATTTAGTTCTTAATTTTTGGTTCCGTTTTCAAATTGGTCTACATTAAGTTCAAAGGGTCCAAAATTTAACTTAGTTTGATTTTAACAAAAATTGAATTCTTAGGGTTCTTTGATATGCTGAATCTAAACATGTATTTAGATTTTTGATTATGGGCCCAGTTTTCAAGTTGGTCCAAATCGGGGTCCAAATTAAACTTTGTTTGATTTCAACAAAAATTGAATATATGGGGTTCTTTGATATGCTGAATCTAACCATGTATTTAGATTTTTGATTTTTGGGCCCTGTTATCAACTTTGTCCACATTGAGGTCAAAAGGGTCCAAAATTAAACTTTGTTTGATTTCATCAAAAATTGAATTCTTGAGGTTCTTTGATATGCTGAATCCGACCATGTATTTAGATTTTGGATATTGGACCATAATAGATGAATGTCCAATTTAAAATTTTTAAGTTCTTAGACCACATTCATTCTGTGTTAGAAACCTATGCTGTGTCAAATATTTAATCACAATCCAAATGCAAAGCTGTATCAAGCTTGAATGTTGTGTCCATACTTGCCCCAACTGTTCAGGGTTCGACCTCTGCGGTCGTATCAAGCTGCGCCCTGCGGAGCATTTTATTGCAATTGACACCAAGAATAACTTCTAAAGTTAAAAGTTTTCAGACATCAATAACTTTGTCAAACCTTCATGGAATTTTACAGAACTTGGACTGAATCCTTTTTATGATAAAAACCAGTATTCACCAAGAAAAAAGTGAAAACTTCTAAAAAAAGATATAATTTCAATAAGAAAAGAAAACAATGTGGGAACCTTGAAATCAGAATAGATACCAGTAACTGATACATCAATACATTAATTTTTTTACAGATGCAGCAGAGATTATACAGACTAGGCTTACTGACATGGTGGAAGGCAAACATGAATTTTATGTACACTATGAAGGGTGTAAGTTTATTTTGTTCTGACCATTGGTATTATAATGTTCTTTAGATTTTTGAAGGAAGAAAAATTGTACAAATAGCAATTGCTTAATTTTTCATTGATGTTGTTAGCTGCTTACATATGATTTAGGATTCATATTTTTGGAAGGAAGTTGTGTTATTTTTCAATAGGATATTATTTACCACCAACTTGGTCAATAGTAGTACAAAATGTATTGACCAGTTTGAAGCTAACCTTGAATAAGCATGTGGTTTTATTCCCCATTTTAATTATTTTTTATAAAAAAAATTGCTGTTGTACTTGTCAATCAAATTTCGGGTAGCTCTGACTTTCTAGTTATCAAGGTCCAAAGAATAGAAAATTACACTTTCACTTGTTACATGGATTTTTTTTTAAGATAGAATGATTTTTTCGTAGGTTGCTTTCAAAGAGGACTAGAATAATTGTTGCTAGATACTTTGCATGACTCTTACAATACAGTTTTCTCTAAGCTACAGAACTAGGGGCCAAGATAGGACATAACTCAATATACCCTTATATCCGAAAAACATTTTAGCATTATGCATAATATAAAGAAAACCAAACAAATTGCATTGCATCACTGGAAAGCAAAATCCAGAATCTGCACCAGACACATATTGTATGTCTATATCTTTCGACTTTGATTTTGTAAAATCATTTTTGTCTTGGTATTTTATTTCTGAAATATGACATAATCAAGAAATTATTGTCTCATTTATGTCGCGAAAGCGAGACATAGCGATCCTAGATTCCACCTGTGGAGGCTGCGGTGTCAACATTTAGGTTCAGTCTGTGGTTAAAGTTTTTTAAGACATCAATGACTTTGTCACACCTTCATGGAATTTTATGAAATTTGGACAGAAGCTTACTTATGACCAAAATACCAATATCCAGAGAAAACTTAAGAAAATATTTATTGTCATTTTTCCGCATTTTACTGATAAATGGACTTAATTTTTTTTACAGTTAACATTCTGATTTAGTCTAAGGTTAAAGTTTTTCAGACATCAATAACTTTGTAAAACCTTCATGGAATTCTATGAAATTTGGACAGAAGCATTATTTATGACCAACATACAGTATCCAGAGCAAAATTTGGAAAATATTTATTTTCATTTTTCTGATTTTTTTTTTAAATTCTGTATTTTACTGATAAATGGACTTAGTTTTTTTTACAGTTAACAAGTAGATACAGTCTGGGGTTTAAGTTTGTTACACATAAATTACTTTGTCAAACCTTCATAGAATTTTATGAAACTTTGACAAAAGCTTTTTTTTATGATTAAGAGATAATGTCTGAAGCAAACTTTTGAAAACATACTTTTTATACGCCCGTTTACGGGACGTATTATGGTATACCGTTGTCCGTCGTCAACATGTCGGACATTAACTCAAAAACGCTTTAACCATTTTGCATAAAACTTTGGTGAATTGTTTATATCTATTGACGTAATCTCCCTTTCGTTTTTTATAAATTTTAGATTTTACGTTTCAGAGTTATGTGGTTTTAATAACTTTTATTCATTAAAAAAAGGGGGATTTTCCAGTTTTCGGACAATAACTCAAGAATACTTTCACCTACTTGCAAGAAATTTTGGTGAATTGTTTATATCTATTGACACTCCCTTTCGATTTTTATATATTTTAGATTTTACGTTTCCGAGTTGCAGGGTTTTATTCATAAAAAAAGGGGGGATTTTCCAGTTTTTGGACAAAAAATCAAAAATGCTTTTTAGCAGTTCTTATGAAACTTTGGTGAATTGTTTATATCTATTGATGTAAGCTCCGTTTAGATTTTTATAAATTTTACATTTTACATTTCTGAGTTATGGGGTTTTATTCATTAAAAAAGGGGGGATTTTCCAGTTTTCGGACAATTACTCAAAAATGCTGTCAGTAATTCTCATGAAACTTTGGTTAATTGTTTATATCTATTGATGTTTACATTTTCATAAATTTCTAATATGACATTGAGAATTAATTGAACTTTAATTGTTTATAGTCTGACAACAGATTTACTAAGTATTGCGCAACAGCACAGTGTATTGCACAACAGCAAGAAATCTTTAATTGAATATAAATTCAATTCATATAACCAATTTCAAGTTCTTTGACTACATTTATTCAGAAATCTATAATATGTCAAATATTTATTAATACAATCCAAATTCAGACCTGTATCAAGCTTGAATACTGTGTCCATTTTTGCCCCAACTGTTCAGGGTTGGAGGCCACAGACCACAATTAAATTCCCCTATTAGTTCTTTATAACGTTTTGTTTCATTAAAAAAATTGCACCTTGCATTTTTGTCAAATCTTTTGTGTGTGTAATGTATAGTACTAGTCCAAAAATATATCCAAAATTCAGAAAGATTGAACCAATGACTCTTACAAATTTATCCAATACACATCCATACCCCTATGGACAAGTCAAGAGATGTTCCGAAAACTGTAAATATCACCTTTTTGCACCTGGCCTAATCACTCTTTCCATATCAAAATCAGTTAAAATACAACATCCAAAAGTTTATTTCACCTCTCTTCTTTTATTTCCACCCACAAAAAACTTAAGAAATGAGTGAGGAAGGGAAAGAAAAAAAATTAAGAAAAAATACACTCTAATTAAAAGGAACTATATTCGTGGACAACGAAAAGCGGGATCATTAATTGTGGTCTTGGGCCTATTAGGGGTCTAAAACTTGACCAATTCTAATAAAACTTGGCATGATTTAAGCTTAGTGTATTATAAAACAGTTTACAAAGTTTCAAAGCCATATGATACCAATTATAAAAAATGTGGCATTTTTTATATCTGAACTTTGGGTGCTGAATTGTGGCGTTGAATTAGAACAATTTCAACTATCAAATTTGGGCTTCTAAAAACCAAAGTATACCAAAACTTATATTTTTTAATGTTTCTATGTATAAGTTATCACCTATTAAAAGCAACAGATAGCATACTTCATGTTTCAGACTTATAAAAAATGGCCAGAAGTAAATTTTATATGAGCCTGTGCCAAAAAATAGAGGTTTTCAAATGATGTGAGGCCTTATATGAAATGTAATATTTTTCACTTACCACAATTTTCTGAAGTTGTTAAGTTATAAAAAAACCTTTTACATGTTATAAATGTACTTTTAATGGAAATATAAGTTTCAAATAGCATAACACATGTGAATAAAATTGTCTTCAGCAATGTCAAGCTTAAAAATACAGGTTGTCAATTTAGGTCGTTCCCCACATTTGCATATTAAAAAGCATATAAATGATATGGTAGATAGAGATATGCTTCTTTTTGCTCAAATCTTTGTTTAGATATGATAAAACATGGAGCCTGGATGTAACATGACTGTCACTTTCAACTATATATGTAGACAGTATGATTTGAAGCAAAGTTATTTACTTTACTTTTTAAAACCGGCATGAAATTTCAGCCTCAAAAGGCCAATATTTTAACCACTAGCTATCAAACAAAATAAAATAAAGGTAGTCTGTGAAACAGACAAGGTCAAACAACCAGTAATAAGTGCTTTTGATACAGATTCAGTGAAATCTGCTAAAAGGAATTCAACTTGTATGTGCATAGAACCTCATTTTTCACTTGCTTCATACTGACCGTTAGACTAAGACCATTAAAGCAGCACATTTTGCACTCTTATTCTGATTTTATCTACTTTTTTTTGTGTTCAGTGTTCAAAAATGAGTTAAACATCTACATTAGATACCACAAACACAAATAGAAAACCAGAAAAATCTGTCAGAGAGAAAGTAAGCATGCTACTTTTGTAAAAATATTGAAACAACTGAAAAAGTTCAATTTTGGACATGTAGGCTGAAATGTCACTTTTTTACAAAATTTCTATCAAATAAAAGTGGAAATCATTTATTCTCATGTAGTTTGACAAATTAATACCAATAGATCATTCAGTGAAGTTGTCAAAGTACAAATTCAATATTTCCTGAATTCACCTCTTAGGCCACAGACCACAATTAAATTCCCCTATTAGTTCTTTATAACGTTTTGTTTCATTAAAAAAATTGCACCTTGCATTTTTGTCAAATCTTTTGTGTGTGTAATGTATAGTACTAGTCCAAAAATATATCCAAAATTCAGAAAGATTGAACCAATGACTCTTACAAATTTAGCCAATACACATCCATACCCCTATGGACAAGTCAAGAGATGTTCTGAAAACTGTAAATATCACCTTTTTGCACCTGGCCTAATCACTCTTTCCATATCAAAATCAGTTAAAATACAACATCCAAAAGTTTATTTCACCTCTCTTCTTTTATTTCCACCCACAAAAAACTAAGAAATGAGTGAGGAAGGGAAAGAAAAAAAATTAAGAAAAAATACACTCTAATTAAAAGGAACTATATTCGTGGACAACGAAAAGCGGGATCATTAATTGTGGTCTTGGGCCTGGACCTCTGCTGGCGTATCCAGCTGCGCTCAGTGAAGCAGTTTATTTCCATTGTCAGTATTTTTCTGATACATGGACTTATACTTATAATTACTTTTTTACAATTAACATTTACAGACAGTCTGGGATAAAACTTTTTTGACAAGATAAAATTGTAAACCTTCATGGGTTGTAATGAAACTTGGACAGAAGCTAATCTTTTAAGTCCATAAAAAGCATCTAAAGAAAAGTTTTTTTTTTATAAATTCTGTATTTTACTGATACATTTGTAAATGGACTCACTTTTTAAGTCAACATTACACTTTTACACTGATAGCAGCAATCGCAGGCGGGACACACATTTTTGTTTTACCCAAATATATTGTGGCACAGCTATTGCTATTGTTATGTTGTCTCTTAACAAATGTGTCTGTTGAAGGTCTTTCTTCATCTTTGTTAACATTTTATACATTATACCCCTGACTAGAGGGGCCAAAATTGTGCTTAAGATATCAATAGAATCCCTTTATTTGATCTTTGTATGTTTCATAGTTAACAGAAGACTGGATGAATGGGTAAACATGACTAGATTTGATCTAAACAACAAACTGGAGGACCATTGTAAAATAAAGGATGTATCTATCACAATGACAGATCTCACAGACGATCGTAAGATAACAAGAAATCAGAAAAGGAAACATGATGAAATCAATCATGTTCAAAAGGTAATACCAGCTATTTCAAAATCTACAAATCACTAATAAAACCAACATACATGTTATGTTAGGGCAATTATGGAACCTGTTTCAAGTAATAAAAAGATGACAAAGTGTTATTTAATCTGAAAATTTATATATTAAAGAAAGGCTGATACACTGTAATGATATTTGATGGTAGTATAATAAAAAGCACAAGAATTTATTTAATTTGAACACTTGGAATTTTTATTTGATTGTACTATAGTTTAAGACCTATGTTGGTGTCTCTATTTCAGACCTATGCAGAGATGGACCCTACTACAGCTGCACTAGAGAAAGAACATGAAGCTGTAAGTATTGGTTAGAAGACTGACACAAATTAATAATAAAAATAATTGACATTAAAATTATAATAATAATTGACACAAAAAAGTATAACAATAGTTGACACAAAAAAGTATAACAATAATTGATTAACACAAAATTATGACAATCATATTTTGAAAGTTTATTCACAGACAGTTTCAATTTTTTGTCCTGTATAATTACTTTTTGGCAATAACATGGAGTTTTCGTAGGATGTTTTATATTGTAAAATCAGTTGTCTCAAACAATATGTGTTTTTGTCAAAGTTTATAACTTGATATATGCCCTAATTTTTATGCCCCCGCCCCGCCATAGGGTAAAGTGTTACCCTTGTACGTCCGTCCCACAAAACACAGATCAAGTTCGAAATTGGATGGCGTCACTGTTACGGTTCATGAGTTATGCCCCTTTATAAACATAAAAATTGCTGAATTTTTCGTTTCTGTCCTATAACTTTGCCTCAACCAAATCTTATGAAACTTATACACAATGCTTATTACCACAAAACACAGATCAAGTTTGAAATTGGGTGGCATCACTTTTACCGTTCTTAAGTTATGCCCCTTTATAAATGGAAAAATTGCTAAATCTGTCGTTTCCATTCTCTAACTTTAGTTTGCCTCAACCAAATGTTAAGAAACTTATACACAATGCTTATAATCACTAAACGGTTTTAACTATGTGAATCCTGCATCTGTATGTGGAAGTTGACTCATGCATATTTGCAATCGATGGGCATCTGTGGCCCATAGACACATTCTCCATTTATTTATTGTAATGATTACCAAAAAAACATTTGATCAAGTTTTAGAACTAAATATATAAGGAAAGATAAGAAATGGGAGAAAAAAACATCAAGCTATATCTCAATATGTTGAAGTGAAATACGGCGTACAATAATACATCTGATTAAGATAGAAAATAATATTTAATGGAATAGTCTTATATCATCTTATACCTTTTCTTTAAAGAAAGAAAAGTCTTACTCAACTGAGTCACAGGTTATATAATCTTTTGCTTTCACTTTTTGTACAACTATCTTTATATAATGTTTAACAAATGGAACATCTCAGACTGATAAAAAAATTACACCAAAATTAGCACAAATGGTTCTCGATATAGTTTATAAAACTGTTGCACTTTAGATAAGATCATGTATGACAATTTTGAAAAGATTGGCTAAAAGGTAGCCTCTTGTGAGTCTGGAATACAAAAAATGTTATGTATATTGAAACTTTAATTTATGTTATTTAAGTCTTAATGGTTTTTTCTTTCCTAGATAACAAAAGTGAAATATATAGATAAGATCCAGATTGGCAGATATGAGATAGACGCTTGGTACTTTTCTCCATACCCTGAGGAGTACGGTAAACAGTCCAAGTTGTGGATCTGTGAATATTGTCTTAAATACATGAAGTTAGAGAAATCTTACAGATATCATCAGGTTAATAAACACTTTATACTTGTAATATCTTTTTTTCCCTCATTAATTGCTAAATATGTGAGTGAACAGCTAAACACTGATTGATATATATTTATACTTTATATAGTCATTTGTGTGCAGGTGCACCTTGGAGACACTGACCATGTGACATAAATTCCATAGTTCACTGGCTTTTAGGTCACTCTTTGGTTTTTATGTGGTAGTTCAATTTAATTAGGGGAACAACTTTTATCAATATGTTTTTCCTATGATAAGAAAAGGAAGAGATATGCAACTAGCCATAAGCATCTGAAATTGCAAAGTAATTCCTTTAGAAAAAAAAGATATTATTGGTTAATGAATAAAATGATTCAGTCTGGTCAGTAGTCAATGTAATAAAAAAAACTAATGTGTATTGGGTTGTTGTACCTATATATATAAAAAATTAAACATCATATTATTCATAAAAATTAAACACATAAAGTTGAGCTGATAATTTCTTTCATTTTGAACATAGACAGACTAGCTTTAAAAAATTGTACCCACTTTAATTAGACTTGATAAATTTGCATGTGTTACTTGTCATACCATTAAATTGATAAAATGATTGTTTGATGCTTTACAATATAACATGAATAAATACATAATACAAAGTGAACAGGATGTCAATATTTATAGGTCATCTATTATGGGAAAAACTGTAGGACTTAAGAAAATTTTATGATTGAAGGAAATGTTATATAATGGAATACAAAAACTATCTGGAATTGAAATATTATATTTTGAACAAACAGGTTCCTTACAAAGTAAACAGTCATTTTCATAATTGTAAAACATCTCTTTTTTTCAGACACAATGTATTTTCAGACATCCGCCTGGCAAGGAAATTTATAGAAAGGGAACTATATCAGTGTTTGAAGTAGATGGAAAAGAAAGCAAGGTAAATTAATAGATTAATGATCATACTGGCTTTTCAAAGAAATTTTACGAACTAGATTCTACATATGAAACTAAGATACTCTTGTACTGCAAATCACTATTCAATGGCTAAGGTTAAAGCAACAGTAATAGCTATATTTTTCCCTTTAAATCTATTTTATCAGTTGTTATCTATTATTTTCCTCATGAATTATAACATCCACTTCAGTTTTAGAAGCTTATCTCACTCTGTGAACTTAGCCCTGTACAAAAAAAAAAGTCTGGATATGATACTGTTCATTCAGAAATCATTGCGTGCATTTATTCTTGCGATTTTTGAAGATTGGACAAAAATGTGAGATTAATTATTGTGAATTCAGGAAATCTGCATACAGATGTATGTAACAATATGAGAATACAAGTTCTCATTATTGGGATACTCACCCAGTGGCAGCATTTGCATTGATAAAAACCTTGCAACAATTTTTGAATTTACAGTTTCCTAATGTCAAGGAACCGTGAAACTTTTAATAACAGAAAATGGTGGGATACCACAGTAAATAACAAAAAATCACCACAAAGCCACAAACAGTAACATATGAACTAGATAGCATTGACTTTTTAACACTATTCTTTAAATACAAATGCTTGACTGTACCTTAAATGCTTAAATGGAATGCATATATATCCAAACTAAATTAATAAAAGCAGTATAATCCAGAAATCAAATGAATTCCCTGATAATATAATGAATATAATGAATACTTTATCATATGAAAAGCAATATATGTGGATTCCTCATTTATTCTTGAAATCTGGGAAGCCATATAAGGGTTTTTAACTTCTCTAATAGGTTTCTTAAAGTGTGGTGACCAAAAAATTGTATGTGAGACCCTCTTTTTCATATTAGCTATATATGACAACAACTTGTAACGCAGAAAGTAAACAAATAAGGAACGATTCGACAAAGCAACACACCATCTCTGATTTGATGAACTTTCTTCCCCACCCTTGATTTTCATTCTGTGGTGAACCCTGGAATTACATAAGATTTTTGATGTTATGACATCACAGTTACGTCATAAAATGCACCAATGTCATGAAAACAAAGAAAACTGCTAAGTTTATGCAGTTTTCCTTCATTATTTCAATTGTGGAAACATTGTGCGCAGGCAAGAAACAATAAAATAATTTAAGAGATGCTTTATTATAACTATTGGCATATATTCTAACCAAATATAAAGTTGTTTCTTGGGTGCGCACATACTTATCCAATCTAATATACATACCTAAAGGTTGACGTAAAACAAGGAAAATTATGAAATTTTTCAAAATATACACATTTTGTCATAGTTTGTTGCCATGGTAACTTGTTTAAATGTGAAATTTGTTTTCATTTTCTGAACACCTTAACCTTTGTGTAGTTTGGACAAAGTTGTGAATATGTATGGTAACTTTTCAATTTGCACTAACATTTGGGCCAAATAAGGGACTTATTGCCCCTACTCCTTTATTGACTTTAATGTAAGCTCTATTCACCATTTTCATTACTAAAGTATTAATTTCTTATATATATGTTAATTTAAATTACAGTCTCTATTGATTTTATGATATTTGCAGATTTATTGTCAGAATCTGTGTTTAATGGCTAAATTGTTTTTGGACCACAAGACATTATATTTTGATGTGGAACCATTTATGTTTTACATACTGACAGAGGTGGACCGGTTCGGATGTCACCTAGTTGGTTATTTCTCTAAGGTGAGTAGAATACCAAGTTTAAGATAAATCTTGACCTTTATATGTATTTAAATGCTAAAGCTCAAGTAATTATCAACAATAAAAATGTTAGATGTTTATCTGTAGGAATAATGTTTGAAATAAGTTTTATAAGAATACTGTTTTGAAACAGATATTTCCTCAGTGTGTTCAATTTATTATTGTTGTTGAAGTTAAATTGCCTTTTTTCCACTGTAAAGATTTTTATACATTTCTGAAGTCTTGGAAATTAAAATTTACTAATAATGACATGAAAAGAGCATATCTTTATATCAAAATTTTAGGGGTTTCAAAGATGGAACTTAACAATATGATATTTCTTTAGGTTGCACTTTTCAATACAGCTGTTTCACAAACCACACCTCTTTTGGGGAGATTTATAATATTCATAAATATTTTGTTTTGTTTACCTACTGGTTTCCAGATATGATCTCTATGTTTCATCTCATATATGTTATTTGCGGCAGAGTCAACAATGTATTTGTTTGTGATTAGGTCTAGTTTATGGTGAACCACTAGTGGAAGGTCAATGTTATTTGGAATGCAGTTGTATTAGCATTGGCACATCTCATTTCCATGGAGATTATTTGGCTCTGCCCCCTCAGTCATGGTCTATTGACTTTGAAACTTTTGCTTAGTTAACATGTATTAGTTTGTGATTAGGTCAGTCTATGGGGAACCACTAGTGGTAGGTCAATGATATTTGGTATGCAGTTGTATAAGCATCGGCATATCTTAATTCCATGGAGATTATTTGTCTCTGCCCCCTCAGTCATGGTCTATTGACTTTGAAACTTTTGCTTAATTTACATGTATTAGTTTGTGATTTGGTCAGTTCAAGGGGAACCATTAATGGTAAGCCAATGTTAATTGGTATGCAGTTGTATTAGCATTAGCACATCTCATTTCCATGGAGATTATTTGGCCCCGCCCCCTCAGTCATGGTCTATTGACTTTGAAACTTTTGCTTAGTTTACAAGTATTAGGTTGTGATTAGATCAGTTTAAGATAAACCGCTAATGTTAAGTCAATGATATTTGGTATGCAAATTTATTGGCATGTGCAAGTCTGGTTTCCATGGAGATTATATAGCCTTTCCCCCTCATCATGGTTCATTGACTTTGAAACTTTTACATAGTTTACAAATTAATGTTTGTGTTTAGGTTTGTTTAAAGGGAGCGACTTATGATAATTCAATGGTATTTGGTATGCAGTTGTATTGGATATTGGCACATCTCATTTCCATGGAGATTGTTGAGCCATGTAATTTCAGTCATGGTTCATTGACTTTGAATATTTGCATAACTTACATTTTAAAGTATTGCTATTTTAATTTCAACATTTACATTATCAAAATAACAAAAAGGCGAGACATATCTCTGTGTTAACAGTTTATTATTGTAATTCAGTACTAATGCTATTTGAATATTTTAGGAAAAAGAATCACCTGATGGGAACAATGTTGCTTGTATTTTGACCCTCCCTCCATTTCAAAGGAAAGGTTATGGGAAATTTCTGATTGCATTCAGTAAGTATGATTATAGTAAGGAATTTTTCAATCATTTTAATTTTAGAATACAAATTCTATATACATGTATCTATTGCCTCAAGGTTATCATCATTGAACTGTCACATTAAGATGTTTTTAAACTATTAAGTAAAAAGGGTGAAGCAACCTTAGTTTATGGTTGAATTGTTACAATTATGAGTTGGTTAAGATTTTGGTAATGTTAATTTTTCAGTAGTAGAATATTAGGTAGATGTGATAACAAAGAATTTGAATGACCACTTTAGTAATGGTGTCCGTGAAGGTTGAAGTTTTTAAATGGCATTCAATGTAAAGCAAATATGATGTCAAAACAAATATATTATTATTTGAAAACATCAAAAGGTGAAGCATTAAAATATATGTCATAAGATAGGTTTAACTTTATTTAACACAGAAATTTATGTAAGACACAGCATGGCATTTCTTTCAAACATGTTAGTAAGGAATTGTGTTCGATGTAAAATTCAATAGTAAATAAAAACAATACAGAGTGAAATTTCATTTTGATTGTTGATTAAATGAAGCAAGGGATCATTTGACTAACCATCCTCGTGTTAAAAAGTTACATTAAAAATTATTGGTTCATTATAAAATGCTAATAAGTGAGTACTGGTCACATATAAACATGTTCTATATTATAGGCTATGAATTATCAAAGTTGGAAGGCACAGTAGGGTCTCCAGAAAAGCCATTGTCAGACCTTGGTAAACTTAGTTACAGAAGTTACTGGTCATGGGTACTGTTAGAAATACTCAGGGATTTTAGAGGAACCCTGTCTGTTCGGGATTTGAGGTAAAATGAATAAATTATAATATATAGTGTTATAAAACTAGAGGCTCTAAAGAGCCTGTGTCGCTCACCTTGGTCTGTGTGCATATTTAACAAAGGACACTCTCCAACATTGTAGATGAGAATAGAATTCATCACAAAAATCTCTGTTTTGTTGATCTTGTATTACTGATCATTAAGTCTGTTTAGTTTCTCTCTATCTTCTTTAGTTTTTGCTCAAAACACAAAAGAGGGTAAAAAAAAATCCTCATTTAAGGGCAATCACTCCTGTAAAGAGTGACAGTCTACTAACTATATCGGCAACATTTGACTTGTTAGTATATCTTGCCTTGCTGATCATTTTTGTGATTTAATGTGTCTATTTATCTTTTATAATTTTTATCATATAAGCCAAAAGGAAAAAAATGGTAAAAATCATCATTAAAGGGCAATAACTCCAATAAGGAGTTGTCGGACGATTTCCTCCAAATTGTCTTAATTGGAGATCTTGTCTTGCTGATCATTTTTCCTTATTTAAGTTTCTATCTATTATAATTTTAAGATATAAGGCAAAAACACAAAAAATTGGTAAAAATCTTCATCAAAGGTCAATAACTCTTATAAGGATAGACTGACGATTTCCACCATGTTAGACTTCTTTGTAGAACTTGTCTTGCTGATCATTTTTGCAATTTAAAGTTTCTATCTATCAAAGTTTTCAAGATAATAGGCAAAAATGAAAAAAAATGGTAAAATTTGTCATTTTAGGGCAATAGCTCCTATAAGAAGTTGTCTGACAGTTTTGACGTATATGGACAATTGGTAGAGCTAAACATTCAGAACATTTTTGCTCTTGTCAGATTTTCTCTATTTATAACGGTTTTCAAAATAATAGACAAAACTTGCGTTTTACCTCTATGTTCTATTTTTAGCCATTTGGCCCAGTAGTTTCAGAGGAGAAGATTTTTGTAAAAGTTAACGACAACGGACTATGACGGATGCGAAGTGATGAGAAAAGCTCATTTGGCCCTTTGGGCCAGGTGAGCTTAAAAGAGGAAATGTTCTATGATTGCCAATGAGACTACTATCAAACAAAGGCTAAAGGATGTGAACAACTACAGGTCACTGTAAGGCCTTCAAAAATCAGTTTCATTTTGCATATCATAATTCTTATTATACCAGGTCAGTTGCTACCAAACTTTGGCTAAATGATACATTTAAGATGACCTTTTAAAAGTATAGCTGAACATGGCCACCAATGTTATTTAACCAAAGGGTGCAATCAACAGTTTTTTGTTTTTTTTTATTTTAAGTGATTCTTAGTGGTGATATTGTTAATAAAGAAACTTGTATAAAACTAGATATCACTTGAATCAGAATTTTGATATATTAAAAAAGTTTTACTCAGAGAAAATTAAAAAAAAGCCCAATCTCAACATGGAAAAATCTGAAATCAGGTCATGTGCATACCCATGTAGGCATGATACAGGCACATTTCAGATAATCAGCAGTGTATGAATTTCAAAGAGTTTAACCTGGTCTTTCAAAAAATTCTCGCTTCAGAGTACTGCTTCGGAAAGAGCTACAGTAGCTACAAATAAGTTAAATTTTCACAACCAAAAAAGCAGGAAGTTTACAGTGTTGTCTTACCTTAAAACAAGTAGATATAATCTAATTATACAACCGCAAAAAATTTGCAGTCGTATATTGGTATCACAATGTCGTCGTCTTCAGCGTCGTGGTCCGAAGACATTTGGTTTCCAGACAATAACTTTAGTAAATGTAAATAGAAATCTATGAAATTTAAACACAAGGTTTATAACCACAAAAGGAAGGTTGGGATTGATTTTGGGGGTTATAGTCCTAACAGTTTAGGAATTAGGGGCCAAAAAGGTGCCCAAATAAGCAATTGTTTAGTTTCCAGACAATAACTTGTGGAACGGTGTATGGATCTCTCTGAAATTATACCACAAGTGTCCATACCACAAAGGGATGGTTAGGATTGGCTTTGGGGGGTTATGGCTCAAACTGTTTGGGAATTAGGGGCAAAAAAGGGGGAAAAACAAGGGTTTCCTGGTTAATGGACAATTTTAAAAAAAGTACAATGTTATGTTTGGATTACCTCCCTTACACTGCTTTTAAATTATGCATTAAGAAATGTTGTATTATCTTGAGGTGATTAGCTGTCAATTTATTTTTAGAAGTAACTATTTAAAAATGCTGATTAAGGAATATTAATTTTAGCCATGATTATGTATGTCATTTTCTATTTTAAGACTTTTATGATGTATTTAAATGGATAATTATGGTTGCAAACTCCATTGGAAATTTGAATTGAGATTATGACCATATCTTGAGGGAAAAGGGGGGGGGGGATGGTAAAAAAGAAATTGTGAGGGGGGACAACTTTTTCTCATTTCAGATTTTAGAAATTAAAAAGAAAATTTCTTCAAATATTTTTTTTTTGCAAAAAAAGAAGGGGGGGGGGGTAAAAAAATATTTTTATTTTAGGGGGGTGGGTCAATTTGCAACAGCATAGTGTATTGCACAAAAGCAAAAAATTGAATATAAATTCAAATCATATAACCAATTCTATGTTCTTTGACTACAGTTATTCTGTGTCAGAAACCTATTATGTGTCAAATATTTTATCTGCGGTCGTATCCAGCTGTGCTCGGCGAAGCAATTTATTTTTAAAATTATTTTGATCTTCAACCTGTTTAATTTGAAAGCTAACTAACTAATATTCATTATCAAATACCAAAAACATGATACTTCTTAAACAATTATGTAAGTAAAAGGGATTTCCCTCCATGTCTATTTTTAGTCAGGGAATAACCCGTAGTATTTTATACGAAACTGTTTATAGCACCCAAAAGGAAGCATTGATGCAACAAAGATTCCTATTGAACTCCATCACTATCTGATGTCTTATTATCCTGATAAGCTGAACAAGCACCTTAGGGCCTCCAGTTTATTACACATATCATCATTTTAATTTGTAATTAATTCATGTTTTGCATGATTAATGGGTTAATTATAGTGCTACCCGTTAAACACTATGATAGAATTATGTAGGATTCATTTATTTAAAGCAAGAAAATGTCAAATGAATATACAAAAAATTAAATCAGCATAAACATGTTTCAGCTGTGTACAATAAAAGACATATTTATTTTATAGCCAGATGACCAGTATCACCCAGCACGACATCATTAGCACACTACAATCAATGAACATGGTGAAGTATTGGAAAGGACAACATGTCATTTGTGTCACACCGAAACTTGTTGAAGAACATCTCAAAAGTGCACAATACAAACGTCCTGTTCTTCCTGTGGACAATGGCTGTCTTCGCTGGGATCCACTCAAAAGACCTGCTAAAATGATCAAAAAATGAGCATAGATGTACAGCTATACAAGATAAAAAGAGAAAGATACCAGTCTGTCTCACTGGTATTCAAATAAAAGAGATACTCAAAGAGTTCAATGACTGTTCAATCAAGTGGAATGGATCAGTGTTTTGCCTTTCATAATCAGTTTTTATTTTGCTATAAATGAAAATTTTAGTGTTGTAGAAAACTTTGAAAATGTTCCTGTTACTGATATATTACAGCTGAAACCATTAAAGAGTTGATCTGTGATCTTGCAAGTGGTTGGTTTTATTTAGATTGTATGACAGTTAATTTTTAAAAGGTTAGCAGTTTTAAATCAAATTGTTCAAACAAAACATCTTTATATTGGTAATTAGTATTAGAAGTAGATTTAGTTTGGCCTTTGCAGTCTTGGTTTCAACATTATTCTTGTGTTGCCTTCATAGATCTATATTTCATGGTTAGTATGGGGATATGTAAGGGCTGCTCATCTTAAGCCATGTTAATCGGCACATGTTCTATTTTATGATTCAAAATGCTTATTTTTCTATTTTTCCACCTTGATTTCAGGGTTTGTTGGCACAAATTTGATGACTAGCAACACTAGAGTGGACCACTTAATGAGATGCACATCCTATGTGGCATTAAACACTTGTAGCAACATAAATAGAATTGATCACTTACAAGAAAAATTAGTATCAGGTTGATTGATTATTCTTGAAATTATTAAATAAGTTTTGCTACAAATCTTTATTTTATATTCAATTCTCAACTTGTCATTTCATTTTGCAATTTCTTTTCTTTAAAATTTCTTTTTGTTGATATTTAGGAACAATGTGGGTCGGAATTTCATTTTTTAATCTACTTGCATTACTGTTTCCACAAGAAGGGATGCAGGTTTATCAAACAGTATCAAGATTTTTTTTTTTATAAATTCAATGTAAGTGCTTCATATGTGGATATTTAAAGGAATTTTATCTTTGCAAATATATTCATTTTGTAGTGACTTTCAAAACACATTATCACAAAAGTTTGACATGTATAATTGATTTTATGCAGTAAAATCTGTTTCCATCTGTTTAAAAATTGTTTTTAAGGAAACATTTTATAAGTATTTGCATGTAATTATAAACAAAATATTGTACACAGGGTTTACAAAAACATTACCTTTCCTAGATTCTCCTCTTCTTAAATGTCAGTATACACAAAATAATAATTAAAATCATTATTTACAATCTGTTACTTTTATTTGTCTCCATATGTTGAATTTTGTGCAAAGTTATTGATAATTTTAAAATAGGAAAGTATGTTTCTGATGTTTGATATACTCTTTTTCCACAAATTACAATTTCACAAGACTGTTCTGAAATTAGTATGTTAGTTTAATGAATATATTGAAACGAACAATTTACTTGAGGTACAAGTGTATGATTTGATTGGATGATAATTTGTATTCAATGTATAGACGTTCCTTTTATTGTTACATCATAACAGACTATGCTTATTCAAAGTGAACTTAGACATAATCGTCACATTTATTGTGCAAAGTGTTTGTCGTTATATTTCAACAAACCTTGCTATGTATGTACATCCTAGCAATGTGTTTATTGTTAATAAAATTGTTAATAGATCATTGTTTTTAAAATTTATAACTTTTAAGCTTCAAGATTCATCAATACTTTGTGGACTGATTTGTTTTCATTCAGTTATATAATAATTGTTGGATTTTCTATCTCATCTGAATATTTAACTGAAAGTGAGACATAGAAATTTCTTATATCATCCTGGTAAACAGGAAATTATGAAATATAATCTTGTTTCTAGAAATTATAGCATCACATCCACAACACTATCTATAAGAAAATCATTTGAGATAGCATCACGTTCTAGCAATATAGCATTACATAACAATGATGTTAAAAGGCCCTGGGTAAAACACTGCGCCGGGCAGTTTATGTCAATATTTTCAGTCCTTTAGTTTGTGTTGCAATTAAGTCAGTTTGTTGAAGTTTCTTCCCTAGTATAACCATTTTATTGTGTAAATATTATAATGATTTAACTCACCTGACCAAAAGTGTCAAGTGAGCTATCCTCATCACTTGGTATCCTGGCATCCATCTTTGTTGTTTATTTACAAAATGTTTTGCTCTGAAACTACTGTGCCAATTAGAATCAAAGTTTGCCACAATATCCATTGGTGTATCTTGTTTAAAAGGTATGTCAGATAATCCCTTTTGCTAACCAACATGGTAGCCATCTGTCAAAATAGAATATAGGGGTAAAACATAAGTCTTGAAAACCTCTATAGATAGAAACTTCAAACAGCAAAAATGATAAGCAAGACAAGATCTAAAAATTTGTCAACATGGCTGAATTTGTTGGTTGACTCCTTATAGGAGTTATTGCCCCTAAATAAAAAAAAATCACTATTTTGGGGCGTTTTTGCTTTGATATGATCTTGAAAACTATAATAGATAAAGGGAAAGTTTAGGCAGCAAAAATTATCAGCAGGACAAGATCTAAAAATTGTGGGTCAACTCCTATCCTTATCAAGCTTTACTTGTCATGATTGAATTTATGTTGAAAGTAATATGAAGGTTTAACAAGTATCAAATAAACTACTTAATCAATGATCCATGTATAGGTGAAGATGAGTTAAACCTGCTGGACAGACATGTACACCATACAATCAAATATAGTTCGGCTATTGCTTAAACAGATCTAAATACGAAAATTAGAAAGGGACCAATGAACCATCAAAATAAGGCCATGGTCAGATAAACCCTACAAGACAACATGATTGTCTTGCAATCATTCCATACACCAAATATAGTTTACTTATTGCTTTTAGATCTGAGAAACAGACTAAACCAAGAAAACTTACATGACTAATGAATTAAGAAAATGGTTTCGAGGTCAGATGAACCCTGCCAGACAGACATGCACATCTGACAATCATTCCTTAAGCCAAATATAATTGACCAATTCCATAAAGTATCTGATAAAAGGACAAAACCATGAAAACTAAACATTGACCAATGAACCAGGAAAATATTGGTCATGGTCAGAAAAAAAAGATTGCCAGACAGACATGTACACCTTACAATCATTCCATACACCAAAGATAGTTTACCTATTGCTTATAGTATCTGAGATATGAACTTCACCATGAAAACAAAACCTTGATAACTGATCCATGAAATGAGGTTAGGGTCAGTTGAACATTGTCTGACGGACATGTAGACCTTGCAAGGATCCCATATACCAAATACAGTTGTCCTATTACTCGTAATAAGTGAGTAATTCATATGACAAAGAGTAAACATTTTTTTCAAGCAGAGATCACTGATGCATTAAATGAGGTTGAGGTCAGTCTTTCAAGGATCCCATATACCAAATACAGTTATCCTAATACTCATAAGTGAGTAAATCAAGGTCAAAGACAATGGACATGACAGACAGAAACTTCATGAAATAAGGCATCTGCAAACAAGATATGAAGCATCCAGGTCTTCTACCATCTGAAATATAAATCTGACGGATTGTGATACCTAGATTATTAGTTCTGCAAGGAAAGTGGCAGGCAAGACAAAACCATCATATTTGACATAGATATTTATAGTCCATGACATTGTGTAAATATTTACAAAATTACACCTTAAAGCATTTATAGGTTAAGTTTAACTATCTTGGCCAATAGAAAATGCTTTATATGAATTGACAGATGGACTCCCATGCAAAACAGGATAAAGCCCTCTTATCACACATACAGCATCAAATGTAAGTACTGTAAATTCAGAAATCATTGCATACATTTTAATTGAGATTTTTAAAGAATGGACAAAAATGTGAGATTAATTATTGCGACTTGAGGAAAATATTCATTCTGATATAATATATGTATCGGATATCAGAATACAAGTCCTTATTATTGCGATACTCACCCAGTTGCATTATTCGCAATAATTTCTGAATTTCAAACACAAGTATGATTTCTAGATCTAAGTTATTTAATTATTTGATAGGTTCAATATATTATCATTCAATTACATCATCAATATTAAAAGACGTGTCCATTCTATTGTCCAGTATAACAACTCAACCAGTTCATGGATTTTGGTTGGAAAGTGAAAAAGTAGATTACACAATACAGGCTGGGCCACTCCAAGCAACCAGGCCAAAATTAAACAACACATAAATTCCTGAGAGTTTATTGTAAAAATATATCACAGGTCAGCTAACAATATAAATCACATTTAATATTGATACATGGTACATTTTCCAATTTTGATAAAATTATGTGGCAAAGCAAACATAATCCTGTTAGCTTCAAATCAAATTGACATTGTATTGTATTAGGTCTGACTTTAACTGCTTCACGTTTATACTACATGTATATATTTCCTAATTACATGAAAATATCATATAAATATGATCAAGGTCATATAATATATCATGCAAACCTCAAAAAATATATTTTATTGTTGGTCCAGTTATATTAGATACAGTTACTAAAGTTAAATAAAATGAAAATGCACTTCTTTACTTTGTTAAGTCATTTTACATTCATGATCATATTAATGCTCTGTCCTTTTGCTATATCTTAGGTTTAGAGATTCTTGGTCCTCACTTATATTAGGAGCAAAATATAAGTCAGAATGAACATAAATTAGTTTAAATGTTACAATGTTTATCAGAATTATCAAGGGCCTATTGAGGTCATGATAACACATATTACAGTGTATCAATTAGTGAGCTTAACAGTACATTTTATATATATAGAGAGAAAAAAAAAACCATTTTGATTTTCATAAATAAAAGTTGTGATAAAAACTTTAGGTTATCTCCCATTGAACAGTTACTTAGGCAAATTTTGTCTTATACATGCCATGTAGCATTATTTGTCCCAGATGCACACAGCCAGATATAACATGTAGACTGTTTAATAAAGTACATGCATATTAATTGTAACTAGAGCATAGCATGGTATTAGTGTGTCCAGGAGATAATCTCTAGTTTTATATTTCTCTGTTGAGGTTAATTTTGATATATGTCAGTTCGTTCGATCTTGCTTACCCTTTTCTCATGCAGCTGGTTAGTTCAATTCAAATTTGATCCCGACCTGATCAAATAATGATAAGTGAGGGATTTTTAATTTGTTGGTTTTCGAATCCACTGACCCAATTTTTCCGATTTCCAGAGAAAAAAAAAATATTTCGTGTGGGTTTTTTTTTTAAAGAAAAGAAAAAATCTACAAAGGAACATTCTTAATATATAAACCAATGAGACCTGAGGAAGAATTTATCAACAATGTAAATAAAATGTCAGATTCTAATTGCATTATGTAAAGTATAAACTACTATAAAAGTAATGTGAAAAATGACACATTGAACTTAAAACTTTTGGTTAAACAGATATATATGTGCTCTTGGTTAAACAGATATATATGTGCTCATCTTTGGTTATTAGTTACATTATGCATGAACAGCTATTATTAACCATTAATGCAAAAACTAAAAAAAAACTTTTAAAATACACAACATATAAAATACAGAAAATAAAATTATTTATTCATCTTTAGGACCTACAGTTACCTAGACTGTACTTAAATAGAAAGACTATTATAAAGGTTGCTAACAGTTGCTGCCTAAAATCCACATGGTAAACAAGTTAATATTTATTTACATCCCATACCATTTTGATGTTTGACTTTATTTTTGCGAAGTGATACATATATATATATATTTATATATACAAGGCTTTAATAGGAACACTTAGAACGCAAGGTTTTGCTAAGCATTTCTATCCTGTTTTGATCCAAATACAAATAAAATATATGTTTTGAGACAATGTTTGGTTGTTCTCTTTATAATGCAACTCTCAAAACTGTTCTAATCTGTTCTAAATGAAATATTTTTGAACTATTATGAATTTGAAGCAGAAGACATAAAAATTCTGCAAACCTGTACTTTTTCACTGCACAAAAAACATTATCACTGTCACAAACAAGGCACTACACAATTAGTAACTGCATAAAGCAAAAATTTATACATTCAATGCATTTTGACTGCACAAAAAGCACAGTTGCAGTATATTCTAAAGCTACAGTGTATATCGCTTTCCAACATCATTTTCTGTAAAACACTCATTCTACAGCATAAGATTTAGTCCATTCTACTGCAGTTTTCTCAAATTGTTCTTTATTATCAAGAAATTCTTTTGCTACTTCTGGTGCTGCAGGGTTATCTGCATTTGGGAACAAAAGTAAAGACTGTATGGCTTGTAAAACTGAAAAAACAAAATCATTCATATACATTTGTGTTAACTGTAACTGCCCTAAATAGTTATCAGAGATTGATACAGATATAAATAATTAAACAATAAATATGTAGGAAATATCAAATGAGACAGCAACCCAATTACTTAACAACAAGAACATGTCCCTTGTAAACGGATGCCCAACTCGCACTATCATTTTCTATGTTCAGTGGACCTTGAAATTGGGGTCAAAACTCTAATTTGGCATTAAAATTAGAAAGATCATATCATAGGGAACATGTGTACTAAGTTTCAAGTTGATTGGACTTCAACTTCATCAAAAACTACCTTGACCAAAAACTTTAACCTTAAGCGGGACAGACGGACGAACGGACGGACGAACGGACGGGCAAACGAATGGACGAAAAAACAAACGAAAGGATGAACAGACCGAAAAACATAATGCCTCTCTACTATACTATTGTAGGTGGGGCATAAAAAAGGAATATGAGCTTGTTGCTTTCAAAACTTCAAATTATTATTCTTGGCTACACATAACTGTCGCACAGAGTTGTCCCAAAGGAGGCAGATATAGATATTAAGACATAGTTTGTCAGTTGTTGTCCCTTATAGACATATGGTACAGAAGGGATCATAACATTGATTTTATCTTGAAAATTTGGAACATAGTCCATGTAAATATGCAATTTCCAAGATATGCAATGTGTTGATGACGTTGGTGAATTTTCAACAAATTTTGGAAGCTTATCATTAGTAAACTCTTCAAAAAACATTTTAAATTTGGATGTGTTATTATCTGCCCCTGCTACTGCCCTTAAAGAAAGCAAATGTAAATTGTTTTACTTGAAAATAGGCAAAATCAAATATTTATTAGTATATTCTTTATCTTTATAAACTGTCATCATTGGTCAGGATTGGATGAACATATTGTTTTAAATCTGTGATGAATGTATAGCATGACTTTTTGGTGAGTCTGGAGGTTTATCAATTCTCAGTATTAACACATCTTCTATAGCCTTACTATATCCAATAGAAAATGATGGTTTCCACTCTGTCAGGAAATCAGCACATATTTTACCATCTTCTGTAACATTTGGATGATAAATTTTGGTCTGGAATAATATCTATCAAAAGATAAAGAATATATTAAATTTGCTTAAAACTGTCTCTAATAATTTCTTATTCAATTTTGTTCTCAGCATATGATTGTTAGTCTTCTCTTTTATTGTGGAATAACAAATAATATCAGCACAAATGTTGATTCCTCTGCACAAATGGAAACTGTTGATTGCAAAGGAGTAGGTTTTTTTTTGGTTACATAACATGTTGTATTGTAGGTTAAGGTCAATAAAATGCACAATATCATTGTTTTTTTTTTTACATCTCAAAATTTGCTGACTTGGGAGCCTCTTATGTACTTTGTTAAAGAGATTTGCTTTACTTAGCGTTTAGACTGCATGATGATCATGTGAGGCAAAAATGAAACTTGTCCTTTGAAAGGATTGTGCTTCATTTGATTATACATCCAATTTCTGAACTTAAATAAAACGGCTTGCTTTTACTGTTAATTTTTAATAAAAAAAAAAATCACTTTCTGCTGTCACGATATTATAACAGATACATGAAACAAATAGGGAAGAAGATTTTTCCAAAAAAACTAAAGAAGAATTTAACCAAATATTGACATTGTTATGTAATTTTTGACTTTTTTAAATCTTTATGTAGGAAATAATATTGAAATTCAAGTTTTCTAAATCTTTAATGTAGGAAATAATAGGGAAATTCAAGAAAACTAATCTATTCTAATAAACAAAATTAATTCTTGAATAACATCTTCTTGTCAAAATTTGTATAAACTATTTACATTATTTTGTCACTATAATACTGAACCGTTCATTATCTTACCTTCGGAGGCTTAAAGGGGAAATCTGTTGTAAAATCTAATCTCAAAAAAAATCTACCACTACTATATGGAGAGTCTGTCTAAAAAAGAGCATCAAGTCAACTGTAAACAACAGCAAACTATATGACAATTAAGATGGATAGATTTTTCATATCAAGCTCAAATATTATATAAAATTGAGAATGGAAATGGGGAATGTGTCAAAGAGACAACAACCCGACCATAGAACAGACAACAGCAGAAGGTCACCAACAGGTCTTCAATGCAGCGAGAAATTCCCGCACCCGGAGGCGTCCTTCAGCTGGCCCCTAAACAAATAAATATACTAGTTCAGTGATAATGAACGCCATACTAAACTCCAAATTGTACACAAGAAACTAAAATTAAAAATAATACAAGACTAACAAAGGCTAGAGGCTCCTGACTTGGGACAGGCGCAAAAATGCGGCGGGGTTAAACATGTTTATGAGATCTCAACCCTCCCCCTATACCTCTAGCCAATGTAGAAAAGTAAACGCATAACAATACGCACATTAAAATTCAGTTCAAGAGAAGTCCGAGTCTGATGTCAGAAGATGTAACCCAAGAAAATAAACAAAATGACAATAATACATAAATAACAACAGACTACTAGCAGTTAACTGACATGCCAGCTCCAGACTTCAATTAAACTGATTGAAAGATTATGTCTTCATCATATGAATATCAGGCACAATCCTTCCCGTTAGGGGTTTAGTATCATACCATCATAACATATATGAGAAGAACATAAATAAACGCATAACAATACGCACATTAAAATTCAGTTCAAGAGAAGTCCGAGTCTGATGTCAGAAGATGTAACCAAAGAAAATAAACAAAATGACAATAATACATAAATAACAACAGACTACTAGCAGTTAACTGACATGCCAGCTCCAGACTTCAATTAAACTGATTGGAAGATTATGTCTTCATCATATGAATATCAGGCACAATCCTTCCCGTTAGGGGTTTAGTATCATACCATCATAACATATATGAGAAGAACATAACCCGTGTCATGCCAACAACTGGTTTTTGAATAAATGTGTTTAGTGCCGATGCAAAGACCCTATAAGTGAATCAATATTAACGCCAAAATATGCAATCTTTAATGACCTGACAACAGTATCGTAACTATATCCCTTCTTAATAAGTCTATTTAAAGGTTTTGTTATGCTAATGTCAGACAATCATGAACCCTGAAATCAACCTTGGCACTTAGCCATATATTTATCATGCTAGTTAACAAAATAGACGTCTCCCTACAATGACACAGTTTTCTTACTTCAAGGCTATTAGTCTTTGTTCTTACTCCTAAATACCCAGCACTTGGCTGAGAAGCAGATCTAAGGGCTGTTTGATTGAAGCAGATCTAAGGGCTGTTTGATTGCAGCCAAAATCATGTACTGTGGATTCATTTATTTTATAAGGTTTCAATTTTTGTGGCTTGAAGAAAAATCATATTTTGTTGATACATGAAATTGATTTTGTGGTTTGGACAAAGTTTGCATACAATCCTATACGAGAAATTAATATTTCATTGAACTATACCCATCGAAAACCACGAAAATTGGTACCCAAACAATAATAATGAATCCGCAATATACGCTATATATTCTTTGTCATTTTTTATTTGCATGTATCCAACTTCTAATGTGAAATTTTACCATTTCAATAATGTTCCATTTTGATTTGCTGTTATGTTTGATCAATGTTTGCAGGAAATCAAAAATTGTTTACCTACATCATGTACATATATATCTAAAGAATCAAAATATAAATTTCAATTTAGGTATCATGTGTTAACTGTATGATGTGTGTTGGAGGCAACATTCAAGTCCAGTGTCCATCTTTCACTCACAGTGATATAATTTTTACTATTCATGAAAAGGCAAAAATGTAAGAAAACACAGAGGAAGTAATTTATTCTGAGTATAAAAATATAAAAACTATTTAACTATACTCACAGGTCCTAATAATGACGCTTGCCAGTGTAATACTGAAATTTTTTAAAAAATTGTGTAAAATTCATACATACTTTAATTATTTCTATCACAAAGTTGAACCTAAAGAGCTAATTAATGGATGTCCTCTTTTTTTAACCTCCAAACCCACCCCATTTTTACTCTGTTAAATAATGGGACAACAGGAAACACCAAATATATTGTTGGATTAAACACATTTTAAAATTATTAATGCGTAAACTGAGGTGATTAACTCACACAACAGAATAAAAGTCCAAACTTTATGTAAAGTATGTGAGGTAGTGACCCAGTTTACAAAGCAATAACCCCTACTACAGAAAAAATGCAATATTTAATTAACAGTTTTTTCAGTGGTTACTATTTACCATCAAATCTACAGTTAACACGGCGTAACTAAGGAGTGAGCAGCAATACTGACTTATTGTTTTGCTGAAATCCGTAATGTTTGATTAATGCAATAGAATAATAAACTGCTTAGCCGAGCACAGCTGGATACGACCGCAGAGGTCCAACCCTGAACAGTTGGGGCAAAACTGGACACAATATTCAAGCTTGATACAGGTCTGAATTTGGATTGTAATTAAATATTTGACACATTATAGGTTTCTGACACAGAATAACTGTAGTTAAAGAACTTGAAATTGGTTATATGATTTGAATTTATATTCAATTGAAGATATCTTGCTGTTGCGCAATGCTTAGTAAATCTGTTTTCAGACTATATACAAAGAATTAGCAAAATAAATTGTACCCCCAATTTTTCTTTGGAAAATTGACAATTTCTTAAATCTTGAGGACAAAAAATTGACCCCCCCCCCAAAAAAACAACATTTTATTACCCCCCCCCCCCCCCTTTCCAAAAAATATAATATTTGAAGAAGTTTTCTTTTTAATTTCTTTAATCTTGGGGAAAAATCTTGAGGAAAAAAAATTGCCCCCCCCCCCCCCCTCCAAAAAAAAATAATATTTGAAGAAATTTTCTTTTTGTAAAATGTGGTACAATTTAAGAGACATCCATACACTTAAACAAAAGTTATTGTCTGAAAACTAGAAAAAAATGCTTGTTTTAGACCCTTTTTGGCCCCTAATTCCTGAACAGTTGGGGCAATTACCCCCAAAATGAATCTCAACCTTCTACTTGTGGTATTGAACCTTGTGGTACAATTTCAGAGCAATCAAAATACTTATACACAAGTTATTGTCCTGAAACTAGAAAAATGCTTGTTTTGGGTCCCTTTTTGGGACCATCACCCCCAACCTTCCTTTTGTGGTATTGAACCTTTTGGTTAAATTTCATAGAGATCCATACACTTAAAACTAAAGTTATTGTCCAGAAACCAAATGTCTTCGGACAACGCCGACGACGTGATAGCAATATACGACGGTCGAATAAAAAGTGAAACGTAACACCTATCTCGAGAAACCCATTTTAATGAAAAAATATTTTCAGAATTTGAAGTGTACAAGTTACAGAACAACTTTCAGATTGACTTTTCATTTGTATGACATCATGTTTTTGTTTATGCATCAAGATCATTCATGAAATTTCTTGGAATTTTATTTTATTTTGTATAAACAAAGACCAACTTTTTTTTTTTTTTGTGTATTGTTTTTACTTTTTTAGTCATAATAAAACTGTACACAGTGCTGATAAAACATAGTGAGGAATTAACTCAGCCTTCTTTACAGCAAAACTTACAGTCATCCTCTAAAGGCCCTGCTGTAAATCCAAACTCTTCTGGAATTTCCTGCCATAATTGCTGAAATTGCTACAACAAATAAGGAATAATATTTTATTTTTCAAATACATAGCTTTAAGGATGTACTTAGGTGAGGAATAGGAATTTGTGTCAGATGTTCAGACTCCTTGGTATTTTTCCTACAATACAGGGTAAAATATTTTGCCCCACAACACCCATTTTTCTTTTCATATAAGACTTCAATAGCTCATAAAAGGTCATTTACCAAAATTTAAGCAGATTCTAGATTTTCTTTTCTTTAGATTTGAGACCCAAATAATACAAATGCAAATATAAGGTAAAAGTCTGAGTCAGCCTTTTCCCGCCATTTTTTAACAAGAGGCTGTCGAGTGACAGCAAACCGGATTTTCCTGCAGAGGTCGAACCCTGAACAGTTGAGCAAGTATGGACACAACATTTAAGCCTAAAACAGCTCTGAATTTGGATTGTGATTGAATATTTATAATAGATTATTATCTAATTAATTATGAAAATGATATTTGCAAATCTGAACCCCAAACAGGATCATGTAAAAAAATTAAACATTAACACACACAACAAAAATAAAATCTACCTTCATAACACACATGACTTAAAAAAAATAGTTATAAAGAAATTTTGATGTTATCATTACTGGTTCATGGAATAAGTCTGAGTTATTTCCCTTTGAACAGAAATATGGTTTAACATAGTACTCTAACATTAGATATGATTTCACTAAAAATAGTTCTCTAAAATTAGATATGATGTAATGCAATGTATATCTTTTTTCAAATTATAATCAAATATAATTGATAGTTCCAAATATTTTTTCTTTCATTTGTCACAAATTAATATAGATCTGTAACTTATCTATCAGCTTTATCTACACAATGTAATGTAATGAAATATATCCTTTAAAAAAAATAGATTATTATCTAATTAAAGGAGTTCACTTCATAATTTTTTTTTTATATATATATAGCATTCAGAAAATTAGTTTATACAGAATAACAAACAAACCTACCACAAAATTCCTCAAACAATTTACTAAAGAAAAGAAAAAAAAATCCAAAATGTCATTTATCATTAATACAATGTCTTTCAAAAATCTTTTAAAAAATGAGTTATTTCCCTTTGTACAGAAATGGATTAATTCATCAAAAATTGAATTCTTGGAAAAGGGCTATAACTGAACAACGAGAAAAGCTAAAATCATGAAAATTGAACTTGACCTTCATTTGGTCACAGGAAACAACATATCTAAATTTGAACAAATTTCTTCAATGCATTTTCATGTAAATGAACAGACACTGTTTGGCAGCCCCTGCCCGCCTGCCCGCCGTACATCCCCAAATCAATAACCAATTTTTACTTCGAAAATCCGGTTAAAAATCAAATATCACAAAAAGGAGCTCCATAACCTATCAATATTTTTAGTTTATTTTGTTCCTTAACTAATGAATGCTCTTCCGACTTATAGTATCAATTTTAAATTCTCGATTTTTTTAATTTCACCTAAGTACATCCTTAAATGGACATGTTATAAAGATGAATGGACATGTTACTGCATCATATCCAGTGACATTAATTGTTTAATTTTCACATATGGCTTCATAAAATTTGTAAAAAAAAAATGATTTACAATCAATCTTTCCCCTCTTTAAAACCAAAATAAAATGCTTCGCTGAGCGCAGCTGGATACAACCGCAGAGGTCCAACCCTGAACAGTTGGGACAAAAATGGACACAATATTCGCGCTTGATACAGGTCTGAATTTGGATTGTAATTAAATATTTGACACATAATAGGTTTCTGACACCGAATAACTGTAGTCAAAGAACTTAGAATTGGTTCTATGATTTGAATGTGTACTCAATTTTTTTATTTTGTGCAATACACTATGCTGTTGCGAAATTGACCCTACTCCCCCCCCCCCCCCCAAAAAAAAATGTACCCCCTTTTTTTTGCTTTTGTGAAAAACACTATGCTGTTGCATATTGAACCCCCCCCCCCCCCCCTCCTTTTTTTTGCAAAAAGAATTAATTTAAGAAATTTTCTTTTTAATTTTTGAAATCTGAAATGAAAAAAAAATAAAAATTGCCCCCACAACTTCTTTTTTAACCCCTTCTCCCCTTATTTTTTTTTCACCTCCCCCCCCACCTTTTCTAAACAAAAAATTCTTTCCCTCAATATATGGTCATAATCTCAATTCAAATTACCAATGGAGTTTGCAACCATAATTACCAATTTAAATACATCATAAAAGTCTCAAAATAGAAAAAAATCCCCCCCAAATTTTTTGAACCCCCTTATGATTCATCACCCCCAAACTCAATCCCAGCTTCCCTTTGTGGTATGGTACCTTGCAGTACAATTTCAGAGAGATCCATACACTTGAACACAAGTTATTGTCTGGAAACTAGAAAAATGCTTGTTTTTTGGCCCCTTTTTGGCCCAAATTTCCTAAACGTTTCAGGCAATTACCCCAAACTCAAACCCAGCTTTCCCTTTGTGATATGGAACCTTGTAGTACAATTTCAAAAAGATCCATACACTTCCACACAAGTTATTGTCCTGGAACTAGAAAAAATGCTTGTTTTTTGCCCCTTTTTGGCCCCTAATTCCTAAAATTTTGAGGCAATTACCCCCCCAAAATCCATCCCAGCCTTCCCTTTGTGGTATGGTACCTTGCAGTACAATTTCAGAGAGATCCATACACTTGAACACAAGTTATTGTCTGGAAACTAGAAAAAATCTTGTTTTTTGGCCCCTTATTAAACATTTTGAACAATTACCCCCAAACTCAATTCCAGCTTTCCCTTTGTGATATGGAACCTTGTAGTACAATTTCAGAAAGATCCATACACTCACACACAAGTTATTATCATGAAACTAGAAAAATGCTTGTTTTTTGCGCCTTTTTCTGCCCCTATTTCCTAAAATTTTGAAGCAATTACCCCCAAAATCAATCCCAGCATTCCATTTGTGATATGGAAACTTGTGGTATAATGTCAGAGAGATCCATACACTAACACACAAGTTATGTCTGGAAGTTACAAAATTGCTATTCTTGGCCCCTTTTTGGCCTTTAATTCCTTAACTGTTGGTACCATAACCCCCAAAATCAATCCCAACCTTCCTTTTGTGGTATTGAACCTTATGGTAAAATTTCATAGAGATCCATTCACTTAAACTAAAGTTGGAGTGCGAAAACCAATGTGTCTTCGGACGACGACAACGACAACGTCATACCAATATACGAACGCAAAATTTTTTTGCAGTCGTATAAAGACTGGAAAACATAATACCTCCTATAATTATATATTAAGAAGAGGACGTTCAAGGGTATTAAGAGAGAACTTGAGATTCCACAAAATCTGTTTCACTCATCTTGACAGTATAAAAAGGCATCCATTTAAAATAAAATGCTCCGCTGGGCGCAGCTTGATATGACCGCAGAGGTCGAACCATGAACAGTTGGGGAAAGTATGGACACAACATTCAAGTTTAATACAGCTCTGAATTTGGATTGTGATTAAATATTTGACACAGCATAGGTTTCTGACACAGAATGAATGTGGTCTAAAAACTTAAAAATTTTTAATTTACCTATTATGGTCCAATATCCAAAATCTAAATACATGGTTAGATTCAGCATATCAAAGAATCCAAAGAATTCAATTTTTGATGAAATCAAACAAAGTTTAATTTTGGACCCTTTTGACCTCAATGTGGACCAATTTGATAACGGGGCCCAAAAATAAAAATACATGGTTAGATTCAGCATATCAAAGAACCCCATATATTCAATTTTTGTTGAAATCAAACAAAGTTTAATTTTGGACCCCAACTTGGACCAACTTGAAAACTGGGCCCATAATCAAAAATCTAAACACATGTTTAGATTCAGCATATCAAAGAACCCCAAGAATTCAATTTTTGTTAAAATCAAACTAAGTTTAATTTTGGACCCTTTGGACCTTAATGTAGACCAATTTAAAAAACGGGACCCAAACTTAAAAATCTAAATACACGGTTAGATTTGGTATATCAAAGAACCCCAATAATTCAATTTTTGATGAAATAAAACAAAGTTTAATTTTGGACCCTTTTGACCTCAATATGAACCAATTTGATAGCGGGTCCCCAAAAATAAAAAATCTAAATACATGGTTAGTTTCAGCATATCAAAGAACCCCATATTCAATTTTTGTTGAAATCAAACAAAGTTTAATTTTGGACCCCAACTTGGACCAACTTGAAAACTGGGCCCAAAATCAAAAAATATAAATACATGTTTAGATTCAGCAAATCAAAGAACCCCATATATTCAATTTTTGTTCAAATCAAACTAAGTTTAATTTTGGAGCCTTTGGACCTTAATGTAGACCAATTTAAAAAACGGGACCCAGACTTAAAAATCTAAAGACACGGTTAGATTTGGTATATCAAAGAACCCCAATAATTCAATTTTTGATGAAATAAAACAAAGTTTAATTTTGGACCCTTTTGACCTCAATATGAACCAATTTGATAGCGGGTCCCCAAAAAATAAAAAATCTAAATACATGGTTAGTTTCAGCATATCAAAGAACCCCATATATTCAATTTTTGTTGAAATCAAACAAAGTTTAATTTTGGACCCCAATTTGGACCAACTTGAAAACTGGGCCCAAAATCAAAAAATATAAATACATGTTTAGATTCAGCATATCAAAGAACCCCATATATTCAATTTTTGTTAAAATCAAACTAAGTTTAATTTTGGACCCTTTGGACCTTAATGTAGACCAATTTGAAAACTGGATCCAAAATTAAAAATCTAAATACACGGTTAGATTTGGCATATCAAAGAACCCAAATAATTCAATTTTTGATGAAATAAAACAAAGTTTAATTTTGGACCCTTTTGACCTCAATATGAACCAATTTGATAGCGGGACCCACAAATAAAAAATCTAAATACATGGTTAGATTCAGCATATCAAAGAACCCCATATATTCAATTTTTGTTGAAATCAAACAAAGTTTAATTTTGGACCCCAATT